TTGGACGTCCAGGACCACGTAGTTCAATTGCTGGTGGCAACAAATTATGAAATGGGAGAATGTGCTCGGGAACTTCCCACTCGGCTTCATTCGACAGAGGAAATAGTCTCAGCATATGTTGTTCTCCAACACTCAGTCGTATAATACAAAGAGCATAACGTTCTCGCAGCAAAGCCTCGATACATGACCACCGTAACTGCATGCTCACATGGAAAGCTCTCCAACTGATATTTCATACAACTGCAGGTGTTATTGGTCAAGTCCACCATATATGCCTATTACGTGCACATTGCACGGATGAGCGAAACTCATCTAGTGCTTCCATATTCAACTTCCTCGCAACCTCTGCTGCCTTAAACAGTTTCTCCTCTTGAGCTGGGGCCAACACGCTACTGCAACTCTGTGATGCCGCACGTCGGTCATAAAACCACTGTTGTAGCTTGTTACGAATGTTCTCAATCATTGCGAGAATTGGTAACTCTTGACCCTTCTTAAACAATGCATTGAGAGACTTCGCGTTATTCAACGTCATCATGTTGTATCGACGTCCTAGAAAGTAAGACCGCGCCCAATGTTCGATCCCCATCTTCGTCAGATACTCCAACACCGGTAATGATTTACTTCCTATCTCGAGCATGAACTTATTACACTTTTCAGCACTGTAAGCTTCGGTTGCTCTCCTGAACAATGAAACGATGCCTGTGCCCTAATATCTAATCTTCAAATTACCTTGTATATGGTATATGCAATACTCGTGATGTGCCCTGAGAAAAAGTTCAGCGATACCATTTATTATAGATTGTTCCCGATCGGTTACAAAGGCAAGGTCTTCGACTTCCCCGATCACTTTCCTCAGTTTAGAAAAGAAGCAACGCATGGATAGATCATTCTCGCTGTCAACTATGCCGAATGCAATAGGGTAAATTTGGATGTTAGTATCTTGACATGTAGCAATAATTAATTTCCCTTGATATTTAGCTTTCAGAGTTGTACCATGAACTAGAATTACAGGTCGCATTGCATTTCGAAAACCCCGAATATATTGTCCGAGAGCCATGAAGAAATACTTAAAAAAATTATCGCCCCCCGTCTCAATAAAAAATGTCGTGTCAGGATTAGTTGTCCCCATGTTATGGCAATACCTAACCAATTTAGCATAGTTCTCTTCAGCCGATCCCATTAAATCCTCCGACATACATTCTTTGGTCTTCCACGCTTTCTGGTAGCTCATGACCACTCCGTACTCTGGACGAACGTCGTTAATGATGTCCGAAGGTCTGTAGATCGTCCGTGGATCTTGATACTTGTGCATTATCTGTCGACCAATAAACCATACTCGAGCTTGCCTGTGATCGTTTCGAAGAATTCCCACTTCGCAAATATGTTCCCGTGAATACTTGCGAATTACAAAGCACTCATTCGTGTCCATCTTAGTTGCTTTCAAGCGCCAATTGTAACTGTCTTCGACGTAGGCAACTATCAACAATGACTTGTTTGATTTCTTTACCTTGAACTCAAAGTCATATTTTAATGTCAGCCGGTGCACAGCTTTCTGTAAATCTTTCTTGGTTTCAAACAGTTGCTCGACCTGCAAGTCATCATCATCGGGAGCCACACGGGAAGAATTGGAGGACGGTCCACTTGTTCCAACCTATGAGCTCCCACCCCGCTCGTGTCTGTGTCAGGATAAAGCAATCAAATTCTTATTTGTAAACTCGTTTATATTCTCATTGTCTTCAACCGTCGACGAAATTCTGTGCGTAACAGTGACATCACGATCAGAAGCAACTGTCTCAAGAATAACCATATCATCCACAGGAACTATCTCCACTGTCTCCCAAAAACCTCGATCATTGTTATCCGTCCTATCTGAATCTTCGCATTCACCTTCGATAACATCCTTCGTAATTAAAGTCACACCAAGAACAATCGGAGTCCGATGCATTTTATTCAATTCTAATAGATAATTCAATTCAGCATCATTAGTAAAGAATACCGGTGGCATCGGAATGGATGAATCCCCATAACCATTGAATAGATATCTCAATTGCATATCGTATTGAGATTGATCAACATTCAGTTTATTATGCAAATCGTGGTACATTTCTAAGTATGGTGTACTCTCTGTTATAGGAATTGCAATACAACCACGTATGTCACTCGTCCATTTCCATTCCCACCGATTATTTTCATTCAATTCGAAATCACCGAAATAACAGACGGGGATTATCATATCTGCATGAGGAAATGAATTTAATCAACTTCATTTATTAATTATAAGAAAAAAACAGTGCTAACAAAAATCAGTGCAGAGTCGGTTAATTGGCTGTTTAACAGCCGACTGTTTGGCTGTTAACAGCCAAAACAGCCGATTCTTTGGCTGTTTTTGCGCAGGAGAATATGGTTCTAAAGAAAAATATTATACATCTGTTCAATTTTTTTCTTTATTGGTAAGATCTGTTAAAAAAAATTTATGCTAACTACTATGTCGAAATAAAATTTCTCTATTCAAATGTATACTAATTTACTAAAAACGAAATTAAACATGCGTAAGTGTACTTACCGATTTGAAGTAATTGATATGAAAAAAATTTCCGGTTTTAACGTTTCAAAGTTTTTCTAGATTTTGAGGTTCAAGCAGATGAAAAGATGAGAGTTTTTCTGTGTTGGAAGCTCGTTTTGAAGTTTTTATAAGTGGAGAAGTGTTTGATTTTCAATTATTAACTAAAAGGGTAGTATAGTCCTTTCAACAATATATTATTTTGTAATTGTACAAAATATTTAAGGGCATCTTTGTCTTTTACCATACAAGATGCCAATGTCATAATATTCATGATTTTAAAAGTCAAAATGGAATTTAGGTCCTTTGACTTAGTCAAACTTAAAAGTACCCCAAGGGTTGTGTGCGGGAGAGTCCTGATATATTGTTTAGGAACAATTTCCCTACTAGTCCCCAATATATGTGATTCTTTGCTATTTGGTCCTCAATATTTATTTCTTCAGCATGACCCCAAGTCTTTAAGTTTTGTTGCATCATTGGTCCTCGGTAACTTATTCCGTCATTTGAATGTTAAAAAGTCACGAAAACTCTCATTCTAAGTTAAAATATTTAAAAGAAGAATAAATATAAAACAGAAATAGGAAGTATCTTCTTCCCAAAATTTATCATTGCCAACCCACCATCATTAATCAACGATTGTATTCGTTATCAGTACCACCATAGGAATTTCATTCGCTTGTCTTCAATGATAGACAGATTTCTATACACTACAATTGTCATCGAATGTTATTCAAATCGACAATTTATAAATGAATTATCAATTATAACATTTGCTAGATAAAATCTATAATGTCAATTTGTACATCTTAACAATATCTAATTAATGCACTACTTAAGCAATTTGCAAATGATGGACTAATTGCAATGGCCATATACTCCAAAAAGAAAAAGGAGTAATTGTCAAAATGTCGAATTGGTGATTTTTAAAAAATTAAAAAATATATATTTACAAAAAATTGAAAATATATTTATACATTTACATAGTTTAAATCAGTTAAATCGAGAACATATCACGAGTTTTTCAAAAAATTACTGGTTTAACAAGTTTTCGTACAGATTTTTAATTAGAACTTTTATAAGCTTAATCGGACCATTTTCCAATTGAATCGGCTGGACAGCTTCGATTTTTAAAATACTGACTAATTGTTGATGCAGGATTTAGCTTCTGCGTGACAAAATTTATAAATTATTTATAGATAATCAAACTTTATTTTCAATCACAAATTTCAATTAATCTGCTTGGAGGTTTAATCGTTCAACTCCTTAACATCAACAAGTAAGATTTGTGAAGAAATTCAATTTTTAGCCAACAGTGCTGTTTTTGGTCTTCGATTTTAAAACAGAATGTAATTTTTTGCAAGAAGATCAAAATTTTACAATATGGAAGAAGACAAAAAAATTTTCCCCTTTTCTTTTTGTCATTCGAAATACGAATATTGGGATCGGACAACTATAACCTTCACTGAGAGATCTTTCGATGAAAAGGTAAAATCAGAGACTAATATCTTACTTAAAAGTAAAATTCATGTATTATGATGCCAAGAAACATACTTTAGGCACAAAAGTACAACAAAGCCAATAAGTTGTAGTCCAATGGTGCAATTTTTCCTATTATTTATTCCAAGACTAGATTCTGAAGGGTCAAGGCGTCAAGCTGTCTTCTATGCAAATTATTGATTCATTTATTTCACAACTTGCCATCTGTTATAAAAAGATCTAAAGCATTTAAATGGTAGAATTCTTGAACTTTCAATCGTGATTTTTATTAAAATATATGCAAGCTTTTATTTTTATCCTAATTTTATACTCAAATTTCTCATTCATTAGTAGCTAACATCTCTCGCTATATTTTGCTTGACAACGGATAGCGTCAATTCCTAATTGGAAGGCAAATATCCACCAAGTTTATAGATTTGGAACCACCAAACTATACTATCTCCATCCTATATAACAATTGATGGCGTTATTTTTAATTGAATATATAACACCCTAACGGTTTATAGATCTTGGGGACGAAGATTGAGTTATGAGGGGATCAGGTTGGGTTTTAGCAACGAATGAGAAATACAATAGGAAGTTCTGGGTATGAATTAGGAAAAAATAAAAGTTTGAGTACCAATATGAAATGTAATTAAACCTACCTTTCTTCCTTTGTAATTTGAGAAGTCTTTTCCGCACTACATGAAAAGTTATAGTGCTTCACCTACTTTTCTCCATTAAGAACTCTCATTTGGTCATTTGAATCATATTATATTACCTTAGTTTTGATCCACCGCTCTTGTAATTGTACCGTTCACAAACTCATTATTGTCGCAAACAAGATTCAGTCCCAACCACCTAAATCATCCAAGATCATTATTCTGATACCCCCGATTGCAAATGTCATGAGCTGAAATGGCTAGTCCTATTTTGGGCCGAGTTTAGGTGGCCTCGCTTGATAAGTTCTTGAATCATATAACACTACATTTAAGTGAATTTATCATTTAATGTCATGAAGTTGCCACCTATACTGATACTTGATACGAGTAGTGTTGGATAACATTACTCCTTATACTATGTAATAAAAGTTACATCCTCATTCGTTCCATTGGGTACTCGAGCACAACTAATAATGTATGCACAGTTTCTTAGGGTAGAGTTCAAAATTTCTCTTAAAAAAAGGCTCCCATGCACATCAAATCTTGACAGGCACTTGCAATTCATCTAGCTCCCCTTTCTGCCTGCAGCATAATATTCAAAATTCTACTGAGGGCAAGGTCATTTTCTGTCATGAGTAGCTTTTCTTGACCCAGACACATACTTGTCAGAATCAACAGTGTTTCGACTTCTTCCTTCTGCATGCTTCTCTGTTTCTTGATCGCGTACAAACTTTTGCTTCCTCTGGATTTCCTCAGCATGTCGCCACCACAAGGATTCTCTATCTTTCCTTGGCATCTTGTTATAACGGGGATCGCTCTTTAAGAGTAGTTTGGCTGTCGACCAAGAATCAACAACGGTTTTCCCATCTTCTGTTTCTCGAGCTGCAGCATCTGCAGTTATTACCTCGGCTAAGAGAGCTTTATAATCCACCACACATCTCTACATCCAAAGAGGAATTTTGATTATAACAAACAATTACTTCAAAGATATAACTGGAAGTAGATTACAGGATGAATTTCTTGTTGGACTGAATTAGAAAAACATATTAGTGCCACAATACGTTATTTGCAGAAAGAAAATAAAACAATGACAAAGCCAGCAAAGCAAAGTTGATTATGGCCAAGGACTCCAAAGAAAAAGGGTGAGTGATAAAGAAGATGATAATATCAGGATCAAATTACCTCTCAGCATGTAAAAGAGGAAGAAACAAACGAGCTAGTGGAGGATTCTAAGGAAAATATATTGTAATCCACTTCCAATTTGTTACAGATGATTGAAAATAACTTCATTAAAGAGAAAAGAAGGATCCAAACAGGGAACAAAGAACCGGCAGTAGTAAAAACTGACAGAAAAGAGGAGAAGAAAACAAATGAACGGTCAGTTTAATGACTAGAACATTCATGACATAAAACTTCAATGGCTATAAACAAACCAGTGGAGTGTCAAAGAAATGTCATCTGACCTCGTGCAATGCTTTAACATGCTCCCGAAATAGCTTTTCTAAGTCAGATTGATCCAAGTGAGGATTGGCTGCACGTCCTTGAGGATCCTTCTCCAACTTCGGTTTTGATCCTGTCCAAGATGCCTAAAGGATGCATAGAGAAAGCTGCATTAAAATTTATTTGACAATTAAAATTATAATATATTTAAGTAACAAATGATTGTGTGGTGACCAAGGAAGAATGATGGCAATAAAATAATCCCCTAGAACCCGCATAGCTTACAGCAAGGGAAGCTCACAAAAAGACAAGCCATTTAGAGGCAGTGTAGGCACGAAAACTGAGTTAATCTTCTTTTACTAAAATAGGGAAAAGAAAAGAGGAGACGTAATACTGACCAAAGAAGATGTAAGAGGAAGGAGGAACATGATGAAAATTATAAAATATAGAACTTACTAAAATCAAATGACATCAAATGCACCCATCAAAATGAAACCCAAATCATCAACAGTATCAAGAGAATTTCCAATATTCAAAGTCTAGTTTGAGTAAAGCAGCTAAACACAGAAACATGCCAAAACACAGATAAGCACTTCCAAAATATGGTTACAGTAAGAAGGAAAACCTTATACTTCAAAAAAGAGGCTAAGAATCCAAGAATGAGACTAGGAATTAAATAAAGCCAGGAAAGAGGAGGTGATAATTTAATTGGGTTCCAATACAAAGTATTTTATAGTACCTTCTCAATAATAAGCAACCAAGGAGTGAAATCTTGAATTGAATAGAAAAAGCAAAAAAGAACTCCAGTGTTGTGGGGCCCAATCAGTATGAAGACCAATAAAGTATATATATAAGATGGATCCAGGATAAACATATCCATGGATGTTTCTTTGCTATAAGGCCTAAGCAACTTGCTTCTACTAAATTGTCCATTTTATCAACAAAATTCGAGAGTAAAATCTAGTTAATTTAGAGCCTATTTGGGAGTGATTTTTTCCCCTAAAAAATTGATTTTTTAACCGTTATTTCACTATTTCAACCGTCATATTTGACTTCTTCTCTTACAGGTGGACCCCACTTTTCTTCCAACGGTCAAAAAATCAATTCTCAAAATCACTCCCAAATAGACTCTTAATTTCCTTCCAAGAAGAGTAGTAATGTCGCCCAGTAGCTAAATCAAAAAAGCATGCTCACAAACAAGAGCCTTGTCCTTTGGTGTTATTCTCAAGTTGCAGATTATGGCAAACAATTCATGACTAAAAAATAAATACCCCTGCCACGAAGTGAAGCTAAAAACTAGATTATCTCAATAAACTTTTTCCCCCCATCATCAGTTCGAAAATATCTGAACAATAAAAATTGGAAAACTAAACTATAAGTAACAAAAAGAGTGACAAATTGGCATGAATAGGCCATCTAAGAAAACGCCCACAGTTAGTCACACACTTTACAGTTTGCACCAAAATACTGTGCGTATAAGACCTTTCCTTTTTACCGAGCAGTAAAATTATAAAATAATCTTCCATGAAATACCACAAACTTATGATTAGCATGACCAGATCAAACTCGTTTTAGAGGTTTTCTAATTAATTTCAGGAATGCTCTCTAACTGAATATGACGATATCATGGAGCCTAACAGGTAGAACTAAGTTAAATCTGATATCAGCCATAAATATCAAATATCAAATAGTAATACCTGAGGATCTTTTATGGTCTCTACTAATAAAGCTTTATATGATTCAGCAGCCTCCATTCTACGAGCTTTAATTCTCACCCTCTCCACTTCTAGCTCCTCTCTTTCTTTTCGCTTGCGCAGTGCTCGCTCTCTTTCTTTAAGTTTCCCCTATAAACACAATGCAAAATACTTATGACATCTCTTAAATTAATAATCAGATGACATCACAAATAAAATAAGCATATAACATGTGAAAATGATAAACAATCAAGTACTACAATTGATAATATCCAGCCACCTTTACTTGTAATGCTAAGGATCAATCACAATGATCCAAATTATCATGCGTGATTATTTTCCACCATGACACTAAAGAAGCAGATACACTAAACTAAAGGAAGATAAGGGTAGAATCCACAATGACAAATATGATACAATCCTGTTTATCTTTCATTTCAAGTTATATGCACATCATTATCCAGTAATATGCCTGAGTTTCTATCATTTGCATCTTCATCCAATTTCAATCCTCAGACTCGGATAAACAGTTAAATGCAATGGAAATGATAAGAGTTTTATTCAAGATATGTACAGTATACATTGAAGAATTTACATATCACTCCATTGACCGAAATTGACATCAGATTTACTTCTACATTTCATGTTTCAAAGTGAAAACATGTACAAGTGGCAGTAGTTCCAGAGTAGTTTGACACTTTGGATGTCAAGCGAAGGTTGACTCATATGCTAATTGAATTTGAAAGTCAAACATAACATCTAATTTCAATGGAGGGAGTAATACATTTTGGTAAGATATTTCCTCCATCGGCAGTAGGTATAAGAATAATGTTTATGCAGTGTGTCTACCAGGCTAGAATTTGGATTAGTCTTCTCTACTATCCACCACAAGCATTTCTTTCAAAAAGTACTGTGCCAAACAAAAACTGACATCTCTCATGATTCCATGAAGCAATTGCCAACACAACAATGTAGATCTTGTACACACAGGATGTATGTGTGCATATATGGCAGGTCTAAGAAAAAGCCATTAGTACTGGTTTCTCTGCTTTTAGGCATGAGAAGATTGAATTGTCTCAACTCTCTAATCTAAGCTGGTTCTATAAAGATGAACAAGTTCTTCAATGCAGGACAGTGACAGGAAATTCACTTTAAACAAATAGAAACCTCAATTACTATATTGTGATGAAAATAAAGAATAAAAAGGAAACATAGTAAAAAGTTACGATAAGATCCCTAGTTCAAGAAATTTTCATTGGATAATTGTCGTCAATTTTATTTCCGCAAGTGTATAGATCGTAACAAATAGTAAGTGGACCTAAGAGTCCGGATTGTAGATACTTTAACGCTTAATTCAAATTTTCTTTAACCACTATTTGATTAAATAAAAACTTGTAGAATCTGAGTTTTAATCTAAATACGAGAAAATAAGTAAATGCACACACAATTGGTTTAGAAATAAAATGGCAGAACAACTTCGCCTATTGGTTACCATTATATCTTAAATTAAGATTTATGTCTAATGTAATGTTCGATCGAATTCTCCTTTGCATTTAATTTACCCCTCTCGAGTTCTCATTGAACATCTTTAACTAATTAAATTTCATATTTCTATGCAAATCTAACTTAGTTAAACGAATTCTTTGTCCTAGAAATTCATTTATGATCACAATAATTAGTATAGATATCTCTACTCTTTATACCAATTTACCGAATTTTACTATATAGTCTAAATCCTAAACTCATATTTCTATTCGTAAGGAATTCACGAAATTAGTGATCGGGAAATTTAATGCATTCAAAAATCCCCCATCCCCCGACGGTGGAGTTCAAGTAGTGTTTCTTTTTCCTTTTTGGGCTTGGGCTTATCAAACAAATTGAACATATTCGAATGAATGGTTGACATAGATAGATGTTCAGATTGCTAAATTAATCTTCGAACGAGTAAGCCCTAGTAAGACCCCAAAGTATCCAAATATAAAATTCAGGACACATGTTTGTGACAAACGAACATGCAAAAATTTAGAAAGCATCATATCACGTTAAATATAACTGCCGATTCGAATCTTTCAAAGAAGAATTTCAAATATCACAATTAATAGACTGGAGGCATGTGTCACAGAATTTGTAAGTAAATTAAATTTTGAAAAAGAAATCAACTGCTTTTGGAAGAAACTATATAATGCAAGCTTTTTAATTGTATGAAATTTAAATATTTCCATCCAGATTAAACCTGGCGTTAAATAACCAAAACGAAAAGGCTAGTTTGTGTGCACATAGTGACAGAGGAAAGTGGAAGACCACAGGCACAAGAAGAGACATTTCTGACAAACCCAGTTCATAAAAATGAGAGTTAGTTGTGTGCAGAGCAAAAGTAAAGTTTTGCACGAGAAGTTAACAAGTAACGACATCAGAAGCAAATCAAAATACAGAAAGCAGTGTAAAAATAAAAGCATATATAAATAAAATAAGTAAAGTAGCAATACAATAATACTTAAGAGAGTTCTCTAACCTCCTCATCCTGTTTTGTCTTTGCCTTCCCCTCTATCTCTTTTTCAGCAGCTTTTAATTCAGATATATATTCATTGAATAACTTTTCCCTGTCATCATGCTTAATGGACTTGTATCTGGCATCAGTTTTTAGGCTATCTTTAACCTACCAAGAAAAGATCCAAAGATTCTTAACAACATTGAAATTGGCAACAGAAGGCAAAATTGGATCATTACAGTTACAGACCGTTCATATATAGAATGGACAGAAAATCAGCTGAACGAGATCCCTAGGAAGAGGGAAGATGTGTTTACTAAGGATATAAGATACTAGCCAACCATCGGCATTCAATAATTTCTTAATCAAACCACATTCGAACTATTTTCTTTACTTTGTTTCTAATATCATAGCCTTTCAACAGAGATGTCAAGCCAGCAAACGTCTGACTGTGGACTGTTGGACAACTCTGCTGATGGAAATCAAAGCAAAAATGTATATCAAATTATCAACTGAGTAGAACTTGTAAAAGTCTTGATAACCATGAAATCAAGTTCCAACTGTAAATTGTTGTTCTGGTCATGTAAGTGGAAATCCACCAAACACCTTGCAACTGATGACAGATACAAGTGTAAAGTTAAGACAGAACAATGAATATTGAACATGTCAAGGAACAAAAACTGTCTATATATCAGTATACCAATTTTATGCTAAGTTGCTAAAACAACGATTCAATTACAGTACATCTGAACTAAGCATATCGTTTGGAGGCAACATTACATCATTAGGCTATTCATGATTTTATGGGTGCCGAGCCTTCTGATAATTTTCTTATGAGAAAGTAAAGTAATAAGAAATTGCTTTAGACTTTGTGGCATTAGCTAGTCTACCAAGGCAAATAAATTGCCTTCACTATTCCCCCATAACCTTTACCCTCTTTTGCACTTCTTTCCCCAACCTTTCACTTATTGGCACCAGTAGTCCCTGCGCATGGTGTCCATCAAAAAAAATCTATTGCATGTAAAAAGACAATTGTATTCTAATACTCAAAAGGATACATAAAGATGAAGAAATAAAAAATCAAATACGAAAACAGTTATCGTACGCCATCCTGGAGCCCTACCCCCTCTTCTCAGCAACCCCACCCTGAACCCCAACCCCTCCTAAACTGGTGCTGCTCCACACTCTGGAAACCCACCCACCCCCTTTTTCTCTTTCTTCTCTTCATTGATTTTCTCAGCTTACAATCCTTCAGTTTTTGCTCAATGTACCAGCACAACATCAATGGCAACAGATGGAGAAGATGATTGGAAAGGATTTTAATAAAGAGATCAAGAACTAGAAGAATTTTTGTAAAAATCGAATCTAAGCCAAGGAATTTGTGCTGCATACGCTCGCCACCCACAATAGACGTGCCTTGTGGTGCCGCTGTTAGAATCCAGCATTCCACCTGAACTGAAGGTCTGCCATTCTCACATGGGGAGCATGGGGAGAAGCAAAGCAAACTACTTTATTGGATGAACTCCATACTGTTATGATTTACATTTTGTTCTTAATATTATTTTTGTATCAGAGCTTACTATACCCACTACCTTCCTCTACTTGTCGTACCAAGGAGTCTGGTATAACAACTCCCTCCAATGGATACTGGCTTCTTTTGTGCTGATAATGCTAATCCCAATGAACTAAATGAGGAATTTAATAAGTTCCAAACATCAGGTCCTGCAAATATTGGAAGGATGAGGTATGAACTAACATAGATCGTTGGTCGTTGGGGTGGTTGGTTGCTGTGGTGGTTTGTGGCAGCTGAGGAAGGAGGCAGGGATGGTGGCTGGTTGCTGCATCGCGGTGTTGGGATAGGGTGGTGGCTTAATAGAGGATTGGGACAGAAGAAGAAAATGAATCTTCTGCTTTCATTATTTCCCTTCTTTTTCATTTATACATCTTTTTGCCTTGTTCGAGGGAAAACCAATCTTCTAACATTTACTCAATAGATTTTTTGAATAGAACCATTTGTACCAACTTAAGGTGCTGAAAAATGAAAGGATGGGGGATAGATCTGCCAAGGTATGAGGGTTGGGAAGGGACCAAAGGTTGAGGACGGCAACTGTAGTTTTTCCTAAAAATACAGATGCATGCATTCTTTTAATGACCTGTATCTTCAATGAGATTAAAAATTCATTCATGCATACCAGACAAGGTTGGCATGCACCTACCTTTGACCAGCGTGAACTAGAAGTAATATCTCCTTTATCCTGAAGCATGGACTTGAAATTTGATATAGCAGCGGCATGCTCCGCTTGGGCTTTTTCTTCAGCAGTCCTCTTCAAAGGAAGCACCCTGAAAAAAAACCAAAATCCTAGGCTATAACCAGTGCACATTAAAGCTTTACAGCATTCAGCAAACAAATCCAAAGGAATAAAAGAGCTTTAGCATACAACCCCATGAGCACCTACACAAACTGGGATCAAAGAATCCTAGTTAGGTCTCGTGTGGCCTCCATCAGATAAATTATCTATATTGACTAACTAAAAGCAGATTATGACCAAGAATAAAAAATTTCAATTACGAAAAACCATTATGACAAAGTTGAGCAATAAGCCCTGGTCGCATGTTAAAAATTAAATAAAAATAGAACAAGCATGCTAAAAAGGCAACATATAAAATAAGGTCAGGTGGCCAAAACAGAAATTCCCTGATTATGGCAAGAGATTAGGGTCTCGGTCCAACAAAAATAAATTTCTTTAGGCTTCGATACATATTTCAAATGATTGTGGTCCATAATCTCAATCGAAACACAAACCTTAAGTTCTAGAGAAAGCATGTGGTCAATCATTCAAATAAAGATGCAAGAAAATAGATTATTTGGTGACACTCCGAATGACAGTGTTCTATTTAAAACAGTTTCAGGATCTCAACCATATGTTGGATCCTTAATATCCCGAATCTTTATTACTAGTCATTAGATTAAAAATTAGGACTCAAGTGCGCCCCTATTAAAGTCTAATGACCTTAATGGTCATGGACCTAGTTAAATGACCTTATTAATTACTAGCCAATAGTTTGAGGACCTAAGTGAAAAGTTAATTTGGAAGTTAAATAAAATTATATGTAAATATGTTAATTAGCCATGATTAAAGATGATTTATTTGACCACATGCATTATTCACCACATTTTAAACAAAGTAATTGCTTTGACCACAAATAAATGTAATTGATTTGACCATATGCATTATTTACACCAAAATTCAAGCCAAGTCAATTGATTTAATCACATGATTAAAGGTATTGATTTGACAACTTTCAAGACAATGCACCAATTATACTTTAACCATGTCTAACATCTAGCCATTTCTTTTCAACTTTTTACATGTGGTCCAAGAACTTGTACATAAATAAGAGTTAAACTCAACATTGGACTATTCTTCACCAACTATTTACACTCTCCCTCTCTATCTCTATCACTTGGTCTCTACACTTTTACTCTTTCTCATCTTTTTCATATTAAATATAGTCATATACTTACACAATCACACAACCCGACACGCGGCTCAAGGATCTCCCCCCAACAATAACTTCTAGTATTTTTGAATTGTCAAGTGATAGGTAAGTGTAATAGCACGAATTGTTCTTTCATTATTTAAATTACAGAAATCTATGTTATGAATATGATGATACGGAAATCCAAGTTATGATTATCATAAAGGTCTTATATGTGTAAGTTCAAAGGACCGGAATTTAAAAGCGCTACACACGGGAATTATAGCCACGCAGTTCGGATTTTAATTCTCGTGTCTCCATACGTATGTTGTGATTTTCCGTGGTTAAATATGGGATGCAAATTCGTTATTACTCATTTACTAAAATTTACATGTATATGTTAAATATTTTACAGGTAACTAAAGGAGGCGGGTTCGAGGCGATCGGAGGTGTATTGTGCTTGCATGGTTGAAAATGAAGAATGATTTAAGTAGTTAAAGATTTTAATGATGTGTATTGTATTTTCTTTAAAATTTGTTTTAATCCTTTCATTCAGAAAATATTATGTGTTTTTTTCCATTATTTATGAAATTATAATTTTAGGGTACATGTATAATTATTCCAAATGCAAAAATTTAGGTCGTTACACATCCAGTTCAATCATTAACATAGAAAATTATAAGTTAACAAATATAGCACTCAGTGAGCATCGCTCAGTTTCACCATCTTAAAATCTAGTTATGGAAAATATTGCACTTAACGAAAATATAGCCAATAGAACAAAATTATTGTATAGCCAATGCAGTAGATGTGTTTGCATTTCCAACCATTAGTATCTCCAAAATCAAAGACAAAAACTTGTGTCCAATTATATTTTAAGTAAAAAAAAAAATTAAAAAAAAAGGATAATTCTGCCAGAACATGTAAAGTGGACCAATAAAATGGAATTTAATCTATTTATACACTGACGACTAAGGGTGCATGGAATTTCACAAACACATTCAAGACAGTACTCGACAAAATTTGAACTTGATTCCTTTTGATGTTTTAGAACCAGAACAAATTCACATGTGCTAAGAATCCAATAGCATTGGATTTATAGCCAGCTTCAATTTATACATATAGCTTAGTTACATGCATTTACTAGACAGAGATATTAAAAACATTACAAAATAGAAAAGACTAGTCACAAAAATGGCAAGCGTCCATAAACCTCCAACGGTGCAATTAAAGATTCCTGAACAGAGACACCTAACTATTAAGACTGTGGCATCATGGATTCCAAGCACATAAACTGCATCTTAACGTGGAGCAATAATAATTTCATGAGAATCTGATGCATAGAGAGAGTGCATTTGCATTCTGATCAATACCAAGAGTAAGCTAGGAAGAAGAACAGAAAATATGCAAGAAAATGTTTTAGAATTGATTGAATGGAAAGTTACAACTCAAGAAGAAAATTATAAGAGGCCATTCGAGAGGGCCACTCTCTCCTAATATTCCTTTCCTCACAGTATTTTTCATGCCCCAAGACTCCCAGCAACTATTCTATTTATAACCCCCTCATGTAACTAACTCCCGCCCTGTCACTCTTTCTTAACAGAATTTGTCATTCCTTCTCCAGCTTTCTTAATCCTTCTAGAATAGGTATGTTTGATCGGGGGCCTATCAATTACCCCTCCCAATTTAGTCACCTTGTCCACAAGATGGAAAGAAGGAAATTGTTGGTTAATGAGATCAAAAGGCTCCCAGGTTGCTTCAAATGGTGACAGACCAAACCATTTAATCAGCACCTCCCTATTGTCATTGTTGCCCAACAGTGCAGATCGTATTCCCAATACCGATTCCAGTTCCACTCAACTCCCAGTCCACCCCTAAGTGTTGAGGTAAAGGGGAAAGCAGATGGAATTTCCCCACAACCTTTCTGAGTTGAGAAACATGAAAAACTGGATAAATTTGGGACTCGGGAAGAAGTTTCAATCTGCAAGCCACTTGACCACTTGACCCATTTTTGCTAATACTTCGAAAGGCCCATATTACCTAGGGGCGAGTTTCTCATTGGATCGGTATGGCCGCATCCTCAAATAGAACAACTCCTCAACTGCAAATTCCACAGTCCTCCTATGCTGGTCAGCTGAAGCTTTCATCTTTTGCTGAGCACTCTGCAAATGCATTTTTAACTCCTCTAACAACTGGTCCCGTTCCAGCAACTGGTGGTCAAGCGAAGACACTGCAGTTGTCCCTTTCTCAAAGCGGATGACAGGGGGTGGGTCCCGACCATATAGGATTCGAAACGGGGTTAAATGTGCACACACATGGTAAGAAGTGTTATAAGATAGTTCAGCCCGTGGTAGAAAGCGAAACCATTCTTTAGGCCTGCATGAAGTGAAACAATGAAGATAAGTCTCAATACCCCTTGACCATCTCTGTCTGACCGTCGGGCTGTGGGTGATAGGCTGAGCTAAGCCTCAGTTTAGTCCCTTGCAACCGAAAAAGTTCACTCAAAAATTTGCTAACAAACACTTTGTCATGATCTGAGATTATTGATTGCGGCATGCCATGCGATCGAATTCTCTCCTTAATGAAAACTGCCACCACGGAAGGAACTGAGAAGGGATGTTTAAGGCCCACAAAGCATCCATACTTAAGCAATCCACAACGACCAAAATTGAGTCAAACCCGTTTGATTTTGGCAACCCTTCAATAAAGTCCATGGATATATCATCCCAAACTTTCTCCGGCACAAGTAAAGGTTGAAGCAATCCTGCAGGCGTGAGGGTTGAGTACTTGTTCTGCTGGCAAGTTGCACAAGCCGCCACATAATCCCAAATATCCTTCATGATGCCCTTCCAATAAAATGTAGCAGCATTCCTTTTGTATGTCTTAAGGAATCCCCCATGGCCACCTATTTTGCCATTGTGGCCTTCTTGAAGTGCCAACATCACGAATAGAGAATCCTTGGGTAAGGCAAGTCGGTCACGGTATAACGTAGCACCTTGAACCAAAGCAAACCTCGAGTGTGACGTCGGGTCAGCTTGTAGTGCTGTGTGGATCTGGCTCAGTTCTAGGTCCTCTCACTGCCTCATCTAACTCATCTTGTAAAACAAATGGCATACTAAGTGCTCTCACTGCCTTATCTAACTCATCTTGTAGTAAAACAAATGGCATACTAAGTGCAATCACTGTTGCAGCTAATTCAATTCAGGATAAGGCGTCAGCTGCCTTATTTTCCAATCCCGACTTGTATTCGATGTCAAAGTCACACTCCAATAACTTGGTCAACCACTTTTGATATTCCGTACTTACCATACGCTGTTCTAGAAGGAATTTGAGACTCTTCTCGTCAGTTCGGACAATGAAATGTCTCCCAATGAGATAGTGCCTCAACTTTTGTATGGCAAATACAACTGCCATCAATTCCCTCTCGTAAATAGACTTACTACGGGCTCGAGAAGGAAGAACTTGGCTGAAGTAAGCAATAGGCCTCTGGTGTTGCATTAAAATTGCCCCCAAGCAATGAATGGACGCATCAGTTTCAATCACGAATGGCTTGGAAAAATTAGAACACAGGAACCGAAGCCATAGTCTTTTTTAGACTTACAAAAGCAGCCTCCACCTCGTCATTCTACCCAAGATTGTCCTTTTTCAGTTGTTGCGTAAGCAGCCATGCTATCCTCCCATACCCTTCTACAAACCTCCGATAGTATCCTGTTAGACCAAGGAAACCCCGTAGCTCCTTAAGTGATTTAGGTCACGGCCACGCTATCATGGCCTCTACTTTAGACATATCGACAGCTATCCCTTTTTCTTAGATTACGTGACCGAGGTACTCCAGCTCTTTCTAGCCAAACAAGCACTTCTTTTTGTTAGCAAAAAGATGGTTATCCACTAACTGCTGCAATACCCATCTCAAATGCTCCCGATGCTCTTCCACCGTTCAACTATAGAGTAAAATGTCATCGAAGAAGACCAATACAATCTCCATAGTTGTTTCCTGAAGATGTCGTTCATTAGTGACTGGAAGGTTGTATGTGCATTTTTCAGGCCGAACGGCATGATTAGAAATTCATAATGGCCCTCGTGAGTGCAGAATGCAATTTTAGGCATGTCCCCTATCTTCACCCAGATTTGATGATACCCAAATTTCAAGTCGATCTTTGAAACGATGGTCGAGCCGTATAACTCATCCAAGAGATCATCGATGGTGGGGATTGGAAATTTATCAACAACGATTGCTTTATTTACTGCCTGATAGTGAATACAAAACCTCAAACTCCCATCTTTCTTCTTAACTAAGAGTACTGGACTCGAAAATGGGCTCATGCTATGCTGAATAACTCCTGCAGCCAGCATCTCCTGCACTAACCTTTCGATCTCATTTTTCTGAAAATGTGGGTCTCTATATGGTCTCACACTAATGGGGCCTACCCCGAGCTGTAGGTTGATGGTATGGACATGATCCCGATGAGTGGATAGGTTACTATTGTTCTCGAAAACAGAAGAAAACTCCTTCAATACCTCGATAATGATCTTCGGTGGTTCTGGCATCCCCCCTTCGTCCCCAACAATGATATTACCCAGTTCCAATAAGAGCCCTTCTCCTTGCTCTCTGAATGTTTTTTAACATGGTCTTTAATGACACCGGTGTTCTATTGAGATTTGGGTCCCCTTGAAGAGTCACTGTAGTCCCTGCCATGTTAATGATCATCGTCAGAGTGTTCCAGTCCACTTGCATCTTTCCCAATTTCTGTAGCTACTGCATCCCTAATATGATACCTGAGCTCTCTAATTCCAAAGGTAAGAAGTTCTCTACTACCAATAGGCTCTGCAACTTCAAAGGTATCTACTTACAAATGTCTTCCCCCTTTACAGTGAGGCCGGTTCCCATAATCACCCCATACCCTGGAGTGCCAGATAGAGGGAAACCTAGTTGCTGCACAATTTCTGTACTCGTGAAACTATGGGATGCTCCAATGTCTATAAGAACCACGACTTTCCTTTGACCCAGTTTCCCTTTTAACTTCATAGTCCCAAGTGTTGTAAGCCCCACAACAGAGTTAATAGACAGCTCGACAGCCTGGCTTTCCTCACCTACTTCACCTTCGTCGTCCCCAGTCATATTCAGAGCATCGCAATTGCCACCACCATGTGTGTCCTCGTCATCCGGTGCGACCTCCATCTCCCTTACAATTAGCACTTGGAGCTCCTTATTCTTACACCGGTGGTCAATTGTGAACTTTTCATCCCAATGGTAGCACAAACCCCTTTCACGCTTCGCCTGCACTTCGGCATCTGTAAATCGCTTGAAGGAGGTGATATTTTTTTGGAATGGTCCAGGGCTTGCTATACGGATTGGGGCTATATTGAGGAGTATAGTGGGCTTGGGTGTTGGGTTAAAACTTTGGATGGGTTTTGATTGGAATAGGCACTGGATTTAGGTTTTGGTGGGCCTGGACTCCATTGGCCCACTTTAGTAACCCAATTTCTTTCTTCCGCCATCTGGGCTATCTCCATCATTTGTTCCAACCCTACCAGCCTGTGTAATTAGACCTCTGCCCTTAACTCTGGCTTCAATCAATTCATGAAACTACCTTCTAGCACCTCCTCCGACAAGCCATTCAGTGGTGCAACCAACGTCTCAAACAGCCATCGATAGTCCCTTATGGTGGTTGATTGCTGGACCGCCAAAAATTGAGCACACAACGTCCACTCCTGTGAGGCTCAAAATTGCCGTAGCAACCTTCAACTCTTCCCAATTCAAAATCGGCCGCCGCTTCTCCTCCCATTTAAACCACACTAAAGCCTCTCCATCCATACATACCACAATAGCATCCATCTTCTCCTCTTCTGTCATCCTATTAATCCCAAAATATCTCTCCACCCTGAAAATCCACCCGTCCGGATCCATCCCATCAAATACCAGCACATCCAATCGCCTTATGCTCAACTCCCATCTCCAATTTCCCAAGGCGTCGTCTCCCTCATATTGACTTCCAGTTGGTCTAGATTGGCTAGCCCAGATTCGACAAACGATGTTGGTTCCTCAGCCACCCCTTTGTCCTTGCGATCCCTCTCCTAGTTTGTCCAGTTCTGCAGTAGCATATCCATTTTTTCCATTAAGCATGTCTGCATGGAATGAAACTCTGATCGTAATGCGTCTAGGTTGGTCTGAAGCTCGTGATGATTGCTGCCCACCTTTTGTTCTAGCACATTCACTCGGTCTGCCAAGGTCATGGTTGTGATATATGAAATGGGTGCTCTGATACCAAATATGATAGATACCAAGAGCAAGCAAGGAAGAAGAACAGAAAATATGCAGGAAAATGTTTTAGAATTGATTAAATGGAAAGTTACAACTCGAGAAGAAAATCATAAGAGGCCATCCGAGAGGGCCACACTCTCCTAATATTCCTTTCCTCACCGTATTTTTCATGCCCCAAGACTCCCTGCAACTATTCTATTTATAACCCCCTCGTGTAACTAACTCCAGCCCTATCACTCTTTCTTAACAGAATTTGTTATCCCTTCTCCACCTTTCTTGATCCTTCTAGAATAGCTATGGTTGATTGGGGGCCTATCACATTCTTAATGATAGACATATGAAATAGAAGGAAGAACCTTGAGTAGATGAGGAAGAAAGTTGGTTCTCTTTCCCATAAAGGTACTATATTGTTACTCCATGTGCAGCTTTTGATTTAATACACATACTCAACCACCAGTCACTCGAAAAAATAGAAGACACTTTGTCTATAATTACAATTCAAAAACTAAATATCAATGTGGTGGGAGGTCAAGGAACAGTTTTGAAGGGCCAGTATCAAACTGTATTGTCAACAATCCAACTAGCAGCGATCAACAATCAGCACAAGATATCAAGCACGCATTCCTACAGAATGCCACATGTAGGTATATATATTGCTAAATGACCATGACTACTGCATTGTCGAGTTGTTTTAAGTATCAAAAGCAACAGTAAACTATACCTTTCATTCAACAAAAACTCTCTTTCTTTCCGGGACAAGACCTCAAATCGTGGATCCTTTCCCCATTTGCTCTTAAATGTTTGATAATCAGTGTTGCAATCAATATCCTGAAGGTCGGTGAAAAGTCAGAAATCAATCTAATCTCTAGAGCTCAAAATCTATACCTTATGATATCCTAATTCTAACAGAATGTGAGGATACTTTAATAAGACACAGCTGCGCCAAACCTCCTTTGCTTCTTCCAATAACTGCTTGAAACCCTCCACAGCAGCCCTCTGAGCAGCTCGTTTTTCTTTCCGCTCCTCTTCAGCGCGAGTCCGCACATAGTGCTCAAACAGCGCTCTTCGAGCACTGTGACTTGGGATAGCCTGCAAAGGAAGAACTTCATATAAAGAAAAGCAATAACAAGCTAATTTGTAGAATGGGAAAAAAGAAAGATCCAGAGATAATTCCCTTAATACCAAAGAATCCAATCCAAATTAACAGAACAAAACATGAAACAAGAAATATATACAGTGAATAAAAAGCACATTGAAGGTTTGACTGAGGCTTAGAAAAATGCTCCAATTTACATATCTTTAGCTGATTGTTTTCTTCTTCGACAGGCATTTACTTTTCACATGTAAAACTTTAAGAGTTTTTATCAAGAAAAAAGAAAAGAAAATTTTAAAGAGCAAATAAGCAGAAATATAATTTTATTTACCAGATGCAGTTTGTCAGTGCGCAGGCATGTATAACTATACAAGATAAGATTCCACTTCCCAGTGAATGCTGCTAATTTAGAGATAAGCATCAAGGAAAAGTAGATGGATAAATGATCAAATTGCCACACTTAATTCATTGCTATATGAATCAACAAACCTTAAAACGTGGATCAAACACTATCTTTGGAAGTTCTTTATCCCATTTCGAGAATGGTGCCACACCACGTTCCTTGAGCATCTCCTACAAATTTCAAAAGTACAAAGGATAATAGAATGGCAAAGCATCCAAAATCTGACCACAGAATCAAATAGTCAATTGTTATCCTCGCACATTGCTTGATGAACTAGAAAAAATATACATAGGCGATATATCCAGAAATCCTAAATTAATTTCAAGCATAAAAATCACCAAAGAAACTAGAATGGCAACCCATCCAATTCACATTGAGACGAGTTTATCTACACTATAAGGAAAGCTTGGAAATGAGTAATAAGTCGTGTGAGAAAGACCATACAAATTCCTACAACACAAGACAAGATAATGGTAGCATCTATGATGCTCGGACTCTCCAAAATGAGGAAGTATCCGTGTAGACACGACATGACACGGATACCGACACAGGATATGGGTCAGATTCTTGGCTTTGAACTCGGACACGGCTGGGAAATGAAGAAGACAATGGAAGGTGGAGTATTGCTTTTGGCCTGCGGTTGTGGCGGCAGGAAACCAGTTTATTTCAAGTCTGGTGATAGTAATATGAAGAAATTTATGGACGAGTGTAACATGGCAGCAACATTTACAAATTGCAGAGAGGGAAGATATGAGTTGGAGAAGACGAGATGGGTTTGGGAAAGATGAAAGGTTTCGAGTATGTGTTAAATGGATTTTGTGGAGCCCGATGAATAAGTTAATGAAATGAGTAAATTAGGTGGTTTTAAAGTCAACAATTCATGTTGCCATAAATTAGAGGTTGTCTTTAGTCTCTTCCAGGTTGTATTATTTATTGTAATTGAAGTGATTTATTGTTTTATTTAAGATAAGATTAGTTTAATATTTAATTTTAAATTTGTTCCATTCAATAGTTTAAGTTACAATTATCCATTTTGAATAATTTCTTAAAAATTGTAAGATGTATCCCCGTAACCATATCCAAAATTCGGATCCTTTTTTAACCGTATCCCTATATCTTAATTTTTAAAATGAGAAGAATCCAACCCCTAGATATGTACCCGTATCCAACACCCGCACTCGAGTCCGAGCAACATAGGGTAGCATGAATTTATCATTTTTATAACTCGAGAATAAAGCTTACTAACCACGACAAAACATATAAAGAAGACACATTACCCTGACCTATATACACACACATACATATGTTGTATGATTGAGCATAAGACTGTTAAAAGACAAATCTTTATAAGATGAATGCAATAAAAATAAGGAATACGATGAATCTGTGGTTAAACTCTTTTAACACAAAACAAAAAAGGAAGATACATGTTAACAAGTAGGATGGCACGAATTGAAAATAAATCACAAGAATGAGAACTTAGGTGGCAGAGAAATTTCTAGCGTGGACCTAACAAAGCTGCCATTCACATCATCAATATAACAGAACAAGAAGAGAGATGCTGCCAAAATTAATATGGCCTTGAGGTAGTTGCGAAAAGATTTGATTTTTATTGGACCTTAGTAGATATAATGTTCGATTGACTAGCATGAGCGAAAAACACGGATGAAGTCAGCCCAAAATCCATGAATAATAATGTATTGCCTTTTTGAGCAAAATAACAACCCATCATAACACTAGACTTCTGTGTCCCAACAGGCAGGACTAGCCCAACAAGGATTAGCATCAAGTCTCCAATTGCTGTATTTCTTGGTTCTCAACACAAAAAGCACGTTGGCACACTCACTGTTGCGCCTCCATATTCTCATGATTGTCATGCCACTCTTTTCAACTTTTTTTCATAGAAAACATATTTATATAAATAATAGACATAAAGATACATGCATCAAGAGTAGGAGTCTTGAAATATAACAAATCAAGGATATATCACATTTTTCTAACCAAGAACTAAGATAAGTGAAACTCCTTAAATCCATAGAGGTAGACACCCATAAAGAAGCCAAAAACTTTCCTTTTTTTCCTTTTTGGAAAAAATTCTCGAATCCTTTACATCCAAACTTCCCAAAATTTGCCAAAACAATAATTTTCCACATCATATTCTCCTGAGACAAGGCCAATAAGTTTGTCAATAAATAGCTCACTATGTCCATCAAAAAAACCCATTCAAAACCAATGTCTCTCAACAAGCTACACCACAAAAAATCTAACCTCATCATAGTCTGAGAATAATTTGTTGATAACTTTCTTCATACAAACCACAAAAGTCTACCATAAAAATAAGATTTTAGAGAAATAAAAATGAGATTTTAGAGAAACGCTCTTGAGGATGCATAAGGAAGAGGATAAAGCTGGTTTCCCTATAAAACTTGCAGGCAATGGAATGATTTCAAAAACTAAACAAACAAAATTAACGGAAATATTTTTCAATGCTGAGACTTTATACAATCTAGGAAGTCAGAAAAATACTTTCTACTCGGCACTTCCACTTTTCTGCTCATAAAATTTTATGCACATATAATGCCCATGGTCAAATGAACGTGCAATAACAACTGAAAATTTACCAGCTATCAATGATCTATTAAAACTTAAGCTGGCAAGGCCTTTGAATGAGAAAACCTTTCATAACATTAACGCTTATTTTCTTAATTAAAAAAATACATAGCAACTCAGAAACTACCCTCATCAAAAAAACACTAGGATTTGAAAACTCAAACATATGGTCCCACCTTATGTACCTTCTCAGATTCAAATTGGAGATAGAAGGCGATGGCAGTTGACATTGTAGACCAATAGGTTGTGAATTCAATAGATGATGGAACTAACAGTGACTTTACAGTGTTGTAATTAGCACACTAAGTTTATTCTAGCGTAACAATCATAAAGCATGCTTGGGAGTAAATTATAATTTAAGCAGAGGGTCACACGGAATGTGTGGATAAAATGTGGATAGAGTTGTGCCCTACAAAATGAGTGGATAAAAAGTATGTTCGACCAAAAGTGATTAAACTTTAAGCACCTCTTAAACACACACTTAATCTTCAGGGTGAAATGGCATATCAATTGTTCAAAAACTCTAGGAAAAATTACACCGTTTCTTAACTTGAGTTATCGTTGGGATTGGTAGAGTATATAGCCAATTGCCCTGTACTTATAATGTTGAGAGTATTGTAAATCTTACTGCCTTCATCCCCAAAAAAGAAACCTGAAAGGAAATAAAGATACCTTAAATTGGTTGATGCACTCCTCTTTGGTAGGACCTCTGTCTTCGTCCTCTGAATCAGAAGAGGAATCTGATAAATCACCATCACCATTAGCATCTTTGTGCTTTTCAATGCAGTCATCGTGCGGTGAAACCTTGGTCACGTCTTCAATCGTTTTTGAGCCATTTAGTTCTAATACCATCCCTCCTGACAAAGCAGAGCCTGTAGAAGTAGCAGCTGGGGTTCCAGAATCCTGTAACTTCCTTTTTATGAGATCAAGTGCAGAAGATTGTCCAGAAACACCTGAGGGTCTCAGAGCAGTGGCATCACGACCTCCTGTGTTAGCAGCAGGTGTACTTAAACTAACTGGAGCAGATCCTTTTTCAGTTATTACATTACTATTTATCGCCGATAGTGATTGAGCTTCTAAACAATCAGCATCCTGTTTCTTTTTCAACTCCATCACCTCGTTAGGAATTTGCCAGCTGCTTAGCTGATTAAATGATAGGCGAAAATGTAAGGTGACAAGAAGTCCAAAAATAATAAGAATATCTAGCAAAGAAGACAATTAATAAACCATAAGTCATCAAAATAACATTAGAGAAACAAGATAAAAAGAAGAGACAAACACAAGATATTCTAGAAGATGTTCTCTAATGTCACCCAAAAAAAAATTGGTTTTCAGACAATATGTCTTGGCCTTCTTGGCCTGAGAAAAGTCTTTTCTGTATTTTTCCTTAAAGTTGCCTTCATATTAACATAAGGTCCAGGGCAATAGACATCGAGGATATTGGTACTCTTGTGAACATATATGAGTCATAGCTTTTGTGATAGATGTAGCCATGCAGGAACGAACTAAGTTGCACTTATCAAAAGAGGAAAGAGCATAGAGCCTCCATTTTATATGGAAAATATGATAATAACTGACAGAGAAGAAATAGAAGAATATCAGAGGACAAGGAGCACAGGTTAAAAATTAGATCCAAGTACTACAACTCTTCATAAATAATTTTCCAACAACATTGTAGATCTGATAGTAGCGTCTCGTGGAACTCCACTTAGCCTTGCACTAGTAGCAAAGAGATCAACTCTATCCAATGTAAATGAGAAGGACCAATGCATAACTGAAACCCAACAACAATTTGCTATCAATCATTATTAGACTTGCAAAACTCATGATGCAAATGTAAAAGGCCAGCAACAGGAAAAAGAATTGGTCAAGTCTCCCAAATAACTAATATTAGTTTTTCAAGAACCATAAAATATGTAAAAGCCTTCACCATATAGGGAACTTTGTTTTCTAAGTAAAGGAGGCTAAAAGAAGAGAAAAAAGCACATCTTTCAAACTTCCAACTCTGATATGCAGTGACTTAGAAAGTAGAAAAATGACTCACAAACTCATTTGTTTATCATTAAGGTTAGGGGGGAATGGATAGTTACCAAGAAAACCCCATTATTATAAGAGGTGTAAAGAGGACAAACAATAAAGAATGGAAAAATGCAATTGCAAAGGGCATTATCTCTGTGCTATTATCCAGAAAGGATTAAAGAATTCATTAACTTAAAATTGAACAAGAAGAAAGAATATAAAATTGCCGGGAACTTCCAGATGAAGTGAAGTGCTTCACAAGGTAAATTTTTTCATGGCACTAAAAATCAGTTATTTTTTGAACATCCTTAAGTGACTAAACAGAATAAATTGACCTCAAATGGGAAACCTTGAAAAGATTATAATTGAAAAATAATCTATTTCAGTAAATGCTTCATGCCCAGGTTATGGATAATAAAAAAAGAATCTATTTATACCAATGCTTCATGCCAAAAGACAGGTGATAGATAGATTGACCTAAAACAGAAAATTATCAAAAGCCCACAATTGAAAATTAATAAATTTCGGTGTATACTTTATATCAAAAGGCATTAGTATTCATAATAGGTAGGTCTTCACTTTTCTTCTTCCATAAATTCCGGAATCTGGACAGGTTACAGCATATTTTCATGTGAATTTCCTTTCTCCCGTGAAGTTCATTCTTATTTACCTTCTCCTTTACTTTCAAGACTTCCATTACTGAGTCCCACAACATTAGTGCCATTTAGGAGCTAAAGAAACTCAGGTTTAGTCTTGTATAGTTTTCTTGCTAGGGAATTTTGGAAAAGTAATTTGCCCTCATTAGCAAATAAGCAGTCATCCCTGATTTCTTAACTAAAGATAATCCTTTCAGACTTTCCTGTGAACTCCATGTCTTCTACTATTGCAACTTCCTATCAGTAAACTTCATATATTATCCCCAAAAAAAAAAAAGGATGCTTGATGGATTTAAGAGTTTTACTCAAAAAGGTAAACATAGATAAGCACAGTATATAAAGGCAATGCAACATCAATGAACAATTTATCCTGTTTGATCCAAAAATTTCATATATAAAATTCATGAAGTAGTTATTCGCTAATTAGCAATAGACCCTTTATTTGAAAAATAAATAAATAAATAAATAAAAGAAAATAAAAATTGGACAGGAAGGATCACATTTATTTATGATTAGGTAGATAGTGATTTGTATCTATCTAGACTTGCACTTATTTGGTATGAAAATTTTTTTTTGCCTAAAAAGGTGCTACGAAACTTTAGCTAAAGGCAAATAAAAAATATTACTATCTAACATCTTATCAACCAAATTGGTTGAAAATCCACAGGAACATTTGAATTGAAAGGTAACTGAATCGGAAAGTCAAAGATGACAAACAAAAAATCAGCTTCTCATGCAAAAATGAAATGGCTCTAAGATGCATGGTAAAATGGTAAAGGAGATAAGAGCTTCAACCACATGACCATACCTGAGTTCTAGTGTTGTAGTAATATCTCCTACCATCATTAGTAGTAACCACTGCCCAATCTGTACCTGCCAGTTTCTCCCTGAACACAAGTATATAATTAAACAATAGAATAAATTCACAGTGATGCCATGTTCATTGTACACTGAGTTTGATTACAGACATGACAGAAAGAAATAAGAAGCTCCTTTGTTGAATTTAAGTCGATTTGTTTCGACAAGACAGAAAAGGTGCCATGTAACACTGGTCAAATGAGCACAAAATTGAATCATCGTACAAGATGAGAGTAGAACAAAAAATATATTTTATTCTCAAGCGTAAGAGATCTTTCAGTCCATACATTACAGCTGATGCCATATCATCCCTGACTAGGAATCACTGACACAGACACAACACTCACACATGGTTTTTTATTGAAGTAGGACATGAAAGGTCATTAGAATAATATTCAATGTATTCTATATTATTTTTCATAGTATAAAACCCCTTTTTTAATCTTTAAAATAGCGCAGGTTTCTTGCAATGATTTTAAAATTACATGGGTCTTTTTGAAATTATAGTTAAAATCTCATGACTTTTTTAAGATTGGAGTTAAAATTGACCCCTTCCATAATAATCCTATTCATTTTCAACTAATAAAATGTTTTAGGGGATAGTAAAACCAGATTTTTAATTTTAGGGGTAAAAATAGTTGAAATTGCTTTAGTTCAAAACATGCTTTTAATTTTTAAGGGTAAGATATATCAGCTCTGTCTCCCTTCCATCTTCCCTCATCTAGTGACTTTACATCCAGCCTCTTCCATGCCCCTCGACAATAGCCTCTTCTAGGTTAGTTTCTATTTACTTTTCCTTTCTTGTCTTTGCTTTTGATTTATTTATTGTTTACCATTATATCTTCAACGTATCAAGGAAGAAGGGCTTGTCCCCTAATGATTCTTGTGCTTCCAGCACATGATGGGCCTTTCAAAATTTTCTTTTCTCCATAAGTGGTACAAACTACAAAGAACAGGCTTAGCAAAGTATTAAAAAAAAAAAAAAAATTAGAAGTTCTTCAATAATTTATAAGGAAAGCAAAATGTATATCCCTGGTAGATGATGTATTTTAAGCATTTTCTTTCTTTCTTTTTTTGTTTTCATTTTGCTTCTCTTGACAGATAAGAGAACACTTTAACAAAAATGGTATAAGAAGTCAGAACTCAGAAAATATACAAGCTTCCATCACAGTAAAGAAAGTAGAACGTATTTTGAAGAACGATGTAAAGACACCGCTTAAAAAAAGAATTAACTCCATGTATCCGAATCCCAATTCCAAAAGAGCCATCAATCTCAAATAGAAATATAAAATATTAAACACATTGTTTCGTAAAATCCACAAGAATTATTTACTAAGAGCACAGAGGCTGATTGGTAGGAAAGAAAGATGGCTATCTTTCTGCCCATAGCATGGATTCAAATGCACAGTGCACTATATCAAGACAATCATAGTAAAAAGTTCCACTGTCCTCATCGAAGCCAGCAGATCATTGATTCCCTTGTTACTTCTTGATATTTTAGGCATTTTAATAAAATGATATTAACTTCCATTCAACTATCCATATTCAACAATAATGTGAATCACATCTTCATTCTATATCTCCACTAAACCCATTAGCAGTATACTTTTGACAATTTACAAGTTGAACAGGTGTATTCAAAAAGTAAATCTCATACAAGAGGATGTACACACCATGAAATTGGAAAGGTGTGAATATCCGAACTAGAAAATATTTTATCATTCATATCAAAACACGATCAAAATGTTCAAAAGAGTATGCCACATTAATTGTAGAGAACTTACCATGAAATTGGAGTTGGCTGCATGGCTGCTTTATCGGGCTGCTTTCACAAACAAAAGATAAAATAAGAACTTAACAATTTAGGCACCAACAATACCAGGCTAATTAAAGACATGCACAATAGACAAGAAAATAGTGACACACGCAGCAATCAAATGGGATAGTTACGCAAAGGAATTCCTTTTGAGCATATTTGGTACACAGTACAACTAACAAAACTTTAGCTGTTTTTCCCTTTCAATATTGTCTAATGTCGTATCGTCTACCTTACCAAACAAGCCAATAAGGTTCTTCAGTTTCTTTATATTATGGATTGTCCGTGATTATTTTTAAGAATATACGGAAAAAAATAATTAATCAGTATTTCAGTACAATCAGCTGCCGGGGAATATCCATAAATAGTGTAATCAACACCCCATGGATACTTTTTCCTTTAACAAAAGGCAAGCAGAGCCTTTGAGGTGCGTACAGGATTTTATCTGAAGATCTCCAAGTAAATGCTTAAACCCTTGACCATTGAACTCATTAGTCGATTCCATTGCATATAGACACTACAAAGTCAGCAGTCATTTGAAATACGTGATTGGATCATTTGACCACATTTGGGGTCATCTGCACTGAGCATTGCTCGATAATACTGTATGAACTTGTAAAGCATGAATTATGTAAAAACAAAAATATTGCCGCCACAGTTAAAAATGATTGTTATGAAACTGATACAAATAATGACTCAGAGTTAAAGATTACTTTAAATAAAATGAGGCAAAGAGAAATGAATCCTGTGAAAAAAATTGGGTTGGCCAACAGTTAGGGAATTCAGGGGCTCAAGGACTCTATTTACAGAAGTAAAAAAATATAAAAATAATAAATAATAATTCTTTTTAAGTTATATCATTGTAAAAATGGAAGGCTACAGAAAATCATTTTAAAAAAAAATATTGTTCAGGAGCATCAGAAGTTCTTTTACTTTTTCTTTTTCATTTTTTGGGTTTGGGTGGGGGGGGGGGGGGTTTAAACTTTTTGTTCTTTTTCCTTTTATCTGGCACAAATAGAAAAGATCTTATACTTAACACTTGAGTCACAACAAGAGCATGAAAGTCCAGTAAATAAGATGTAAATGAAATTAAAAATTCGCCTCTGTACCTAGAGGGTTATGATTGGTGGAAGAGCCTATGGAGAAGAACATAAAAGAAGCAGATCACTGTCAGAGAATATTAGAGTAGCTGGGTCAGATCTCTAGAGTGACCACTAGTTACCTCATTAAAGCTAAAAATTTTTTTTTTTTTTTTTTTTTTTTTTTTTTTGGGGGGGGGGGGGGGGGGGGGGTGTTTAAACTCTTTGTTCTTTTTCCTTTTATCTGGCACAAATAGAAAAGATCTTATACTTAACACTTGAGTCACAACAAGAGCATGAAAGTCCAGTAAATAAGATGTAAATGAAATTAAAAATTCGCCTCTGTACCTAGAGGGTTATGATTGGTGGAAGAGCCTATGGAGAAGAACATAAAAGAAGCAGATCACTGTCAGAGAATATTAGAGTAGCTGGGTCAGATCTCTAGAGTGACCACTAGTTACCTCATTAAAGCTAAAAAATGGCATCTTTGAAGAATACATAGGGGATTCATCCATGAAAGCATGTTTAGTGGAGTGAAAGCAATTTATTGTCCGAAATAATGTTTGATACTGGAAGAATACAAAAGGTTTGTGGGTCCTTCAATAAGCAAGAAGCTCTTTTTAAAAGCAAAAAGTGTGGATGGTGATTTATAGATTCCTCACTATGATTTACTTCAGTTAATGCTCATCTGTTTTTTATGCTTTCCTGTAAGTTTTATGAGTCAAGGGAATTTCGATGCAGTAACATTCTTATAGTTGCGGTTTGTGAGCCTTCAGTAGGGTATTTATGGTTAGTTGCAGCCTTAGACTTAACTAGCTCTGAGTTTCCTACCTAGTCTTCGCACATTAATTTTTGACAAGTAAATTAAGTCCTATATGTTATCCTGGTTGGCTGAACAAGAAAGAGTAGAAGCTATGCAAATACAGCAGAAACATTGAAATCAAATGCAAAAATTTTATCTTAAAACAATTGATGTTTTGTTCTGAAGCTAACCAAAAATTGGTTGATAAGAATGTTAGTCCAGAGATGTAAAAGGTCCTCAAAAAGACTCAATTGTACCTCTGATGATCAGAGACAACATAAATGGTTGCAGTACCTCGTCTTTAAAGCCCAAAGGTTTCTCATAGGTAGATACCCCTGTCAAAGAATTATAATAGTATACAACCCCACTTTCAGTCCTGTGTGCTGTCCAGGCATCCAGTTGTTCTCTGACAGAAGCTTCATCTTTGATCTCATCATTATTGACATGTTTACTACTATCTGTATAACACAGACAATTTATAACACCAAAATATAATACTTTGAATCTTAAATGCATTAACCTAAACATGAAGTCTCGACATACCAATGCCAGGAGGTAACTCTTCCTGCACTGACCCAATGGTTGACTGGTCACCAGAAGCCACTGAAGATGCAGAGTCCCCAACAGAAGATACTGCTGGAGTAACTCCAGGAGGTTGGGTATTGGGAAATGAAACAGAAACTGGCAGCATAGGACGAGTTGACATGGGAAAAGGACCAGGAATAACAGTAGGGTATGGTGAAAATGATGGCCTAACAATGCCACTGATCTGTGGGATTGGGGACTGCAACCATGGTCCTGGAGGAGCTGCTTGAAATGGAGTAGGATATGGAGTAAAAGTCTGCTGCTGAATTGGGAAATTAGAGAGAACAGGAGCAGCAGGCATGAAGGATCTTGGGAGGGCAGGAGAATCCACAGATGAAGGGACAGCAGATATATTTGAAGATGAAGATACAGAGGACGCAATTCCAGGAGGACCAGGCGTTATAGGAGTTCTAGGCATTCCTGGAGTCACCTGAAATGGTGCAGGGGGCAACCAAGCAGCCGTGCTGCTAAAACTATTAGATGCATAAACAGTTACTGAAGGACTTGGATTTGTAAGAGCAGGCTGAGAAGCAGACTGTGTGAAAACTTGTGCAGAAGCAATTGCTCCAATCTCTTGAGTAGTATTTGCTCTTACGTTCTACAGCCAGAACAAAAGCCTATGAACTCAACAGCAATTCTGACTATTTTGCATACAATATAAATTGGGAGCTATATGCATATATCCACATTCAGTGGCTAGAATTTATATATTATAGTGCATCTAAGATGTAGAAATTGAACCTAAATACATACAGTTTCCAGCGATAAGTTGTTCTGCATCAGCTGCTGATGCCCATTAAAAGAGAAGTTTGCAAAATGCGAAGAGCTTCCTTGAGGAAGACCAACAGGCTGAGGGCCAGGAGGGGTCATGACTTGTGCAGCAGTTCCTGGTACAAATGCACCAGGCTGTGAGGAGTGTAAAGGAACAGGAGAATGCAAGAATGCTGGGTGTGCGGATGGTGTAGGAGATGAAGCATTCCTTCCCACTGGAGAGTGACCCTGCTCAACAGCCTGCCATGAATCAATAATAACAGTCATAAACTTCCCAGCGCACGTACGGATGTATAAGATGAATTTGTCAAAAGTGCTGTCACGTCAAATTTCTTATGACTAATCAAGATGAAATTCCAAGCAACAATCTCAATGAAACTGAAAATGAAATTATACTTCAGTCACAGGCTTAATACCCAAAGATGAACAGGGACAGAAAAAATACTGGAAGCTAATTCTACATTAATTACAACACAGTGGGTAAGAGAGTAATATTAGATATCGATAAGGATCTTTTAAAAGGTGCTACAGATATTTTCACAGTTTAATAACAATAAACCAGAATCCACCACGGAAAACAAGATTATAAACTAATCTAAGATCCTGGTATTTATTGTACTAAAGATGTTCCGCCCAAACAATTAAGATCATCAACTAGCTAAGTGATAATCCCCTCTTGAACACATGTCCTAGCACGTCTCCCCTCATAAACAAAAATGTGATAAATTAATTACTGAAGGTTTTAAAAGAGTGCCCGGTGATTTATTGGGAATTGTACAAATTATTTGAGATATGGGAAAAGAAGTGCCAATCTGGTAATTTCCAAATTGAATTGCAGATAAACTGCCGGTTCACCAATAATCAATGGTGCTAGAACTGCTGAGCCTAAGCTACTTGCAATAGCACCTCGAATTACTGGAAAAATATAAAAAAAGATTGGGCCATGCAGGTTTTCCATAATAATTACAAGTCAGGCCAGTTTCATGAAATGTACCACGTGTGCAAATCAAGAGGGTACTGACATTGGAGATCACAGACTCAATTCATGAGTCTACAGCCTATCCTCCCCCACATAAAAGGACTTTTACTAGAAGTATCAGATTCCTCGTTTATGCAGCTTAATAAAACATAATGACAAGGTTTTTACTCAATGGGTTTCTCAACACATGCATTGCAAAAATGTGTTCAGTTTAGAGTACATAGAGCCCTACCGTGCTAGCAGATAACCCTGACCACTAGAGAAAATGTATCTATAATGCAAAAAAAGACGAAGCATCACTCGTGGACAAACTAGAGATTGAACTTCTGATTATTACAATGAACAACCCTCTGACAATTTAACTAAAATACAACATTTTCTTCTTTTTGTGATTACTTACCGAACTAGCAGATGACAGCTGTGAACTTCCAGAAGGTGGGTTGTTCCCATTCAAGTAAGAGAAGGAAGGTCGCACGACACCATAAGCAGTAGCACTGTTTTGTTTTGGTTCAGATGCATCTTGTGAAGGAGCAGTTGGAGTTGAACTAGATATGGAGCGCAGCTCTGACATTTTTCCTTACTTTAACTTCCTTAATAACAATAAAGAGTCCAAGGAGAAAACTGCTAGAAAAAGAAAAGAACTAGAATTTAAGAGGGAAAAATCAAAATATATTGCCAATACATTTACATAGTACTTTTCTCAGAAGGCAGAACTCGGATTTTCACATTTGACTAGGAAACAAAGCATTAACATTTGACAAGATGGATAGGGTTAAATTACAAATATTTGAAATTCGGCTAGTACCCACTAGTTACGATCGTAATTAAGCAACTAAACAAAAATTAACAACAAAAAAACGTATATACAAAAGTCTGTGTGACTGTTTAACTGGAATAGCAATTCAGCTTGTACATCAATGACGAAGAAACTGTTTAATTTTCTAAAATTGGGACAGTATGAATGAATGAGAACGAGTAATTTACTGATTTAGTTATAAAAATAACAAAGACGAAATAGGAAGAGACGTACCAAGTAGCGAAACCAGAGAAAAAGACGGCGAAAGCAAGAACAGAGAAGCAGCTCCGACTATGGCGTCAGGGCCTGTAGGGGTTAAATGATGTAGTACATCGTACCATTTGGGCGACAAAACTGGTAGCACGATTTTAAGTTATTTTCACCCTAGATCCCTAAGCTTTTGAAATGTTGAATTATAGTACACGAATGGTCTGTAATTGATCCCATGTGCAAATAAATCTCATGTTTAGTTCTCATTTCTAAAATTCAATTTTTTTCAAATTTATTTTCAATTGTACAATAAAATAATTTTAATCATAAATTCATGATTTTTTCTCTATTATTTAATTATACATTTTTCAAAAAAAGTGGTTATAGTCTAAGCCCCTGTTTGATTAACATTAAATTAAATTACATTACATTCCATTTTTCTCCCTCCTATTTTCAACCATACAATCTTCTATAAAATAATATTACACGTAAATCGAAAACTTTACCTTCTTTTTCAACCACTCATTTTTCTAAAAAATACTATTCCCCCCATTACCATTTTCAGGTAATGGGGGCCAAACAGGGTGTAAATAGGTGTCCATAATACTCGATAGCTAGTGCTTGTGGTGGAGTCCACAAGTTGGTATATCCTTAAAAGAGGAAAACTATCTTTAGGACAAGCTTGATTGAGGTTGAAAAAGCCCATGCATATCCTCCATTTATCATTGTGTTTTTCATTGAGACTAGAATGAAAATCAACTTCGAGTAATTTGCCTCCTTGATGAAGCAACTATTTATCAGTTTTTTCTTCCTTTAGTGCTTCATACATGTTCGGGTTGAGGGCTCTTCTTTTCTTTGTATGGGGAAATTGATCTTTCAATCAATGCCAATTATATCATCATGCCTTCATGCAGAGACGCAAAGATTTTTGTACAAGAAGTCCTTAAACTTTTCTTTAGCCTCAGGTGGCAGGTCTTTTCCACCTTCAATACCTTGGTGAGGTCTATCGAGACGCTCTCCAACTCCTATTCTGAGGCTGTTTGGGATTTAGACTCAATAACACAAGGGTCCAACTCCTCAAATATGACCCCTTGTTCAGGGGCTCTGCCATTTTGATGTCTCATTGTTTGGAGTTCTGTCCTCTAAAATCATAAACCATGTCAATATCCATTAACACCATGTTGACATTCCCAGGCTTGGCTTCCTTATGGAGTTTAGGTAGCACAGCCGTGCTTTCATCTGATCATCTCTAATTTTGGATATCTTGGGCTTAGTTAAAAATTTCATACACAGGAGGTAAATAGATGTGATGGCTCGTAAATCTTTTAAGGCGTGTCTCCCCAACACCTCATGGTAGGCGAATGGGTTATTTACCACCAAAAATTTCATTAACTTTAGTCCCTTTTGGGGTAGTTTACCCATCTCCACTGAAAAGTTATTTTCTTTCTTGGGATGATGCTGTCACCGATAAAGTTGTACAATGGGGTGTTGATCAGAGTTAATTCATGACCCACAACCATTTTATCAAACGTTGTTTCTAAAGACGATGTTGTTGAAGCTACCATTGTCTACTAGCATCCGCTTTAACCCGTTGCGAGCCACCATCAGCCTTACTACAAGGGCATCACAATAGAATAGTGCACACCCACGACATCCTTCTGGGTAAAAGTGATATGTGGTGGTTGCCTTCTATAGGCATTTCTCTATTGCGCTCTCTCCCTCGTCGCTGAGATATTTCTCGACAAAGTGGTCTCGTTTCTTCACGCTTAGGCCGTTGGACCAACCTAGGTGGGGATGGATCATTATGAGGAGGACAATGGTTTCTTTGGTCATTTCGGAGGTTGATTTATTCCAGGTGTTGGGTAATACCTTTACCTTCTGTTGTGTCATGACTATAAAAGTGATAGTAAGTGTAGTATTAGGATGCGTCCAACCTATTTCTAGGTTCGACACATCGTCCTTAACCTCTTTCCCTCTGGGAGACCCCCTGTCGAGACACACCTTATCACATGCTAGTGCTAGGGTCTATATCCTCGTAGGCTAATGTAGATATTATGTCCAACGTAGCCATGGCAAGTGTTTGTCCTGAATTTAGGGTGATCGAATGGTCGGCCTAGTTCCATTGGTAGTCCATTAAATGAGAGGTCCCTGTTGACTCTAAGGGGGTAGGAAAACTTTACGTTATCTGTTACGATGATCGATCAACTCTTTGTTGATAATTTCGCGCTTCATCATTGCCGGCAAAGATAAAATCATAACTGAAGGGATTTTGACTCTGTACATCCATCCAAAAGAGGGTATTCATGTTAAGTCTTCCCTTAAGGTTGATAATGCCTCTTTATTAGTAACTTGCACACATTATATCATCTCGTCAATAAAACACGCTAAAAACTCATTAATATCTTCCCAAGCTACTGTCTCATGTCTTGGAGGTGCTGGATATAAGTTTCTCATTCTTGTTGCGGATCGCGTCAAGAATGAACTTCTAAATTCTGGCTAGCTTTTTATACTCCCAGGGGATATTTTATTGTACCAAATTTCGGTCACTCTACTTCAAGTTAAGTGGAAGGCCCTACATTTGATAGCGAGGGAGATACTTCTTAGGCTCGTGTGTGTTTTGTAGCTATTCAAGTGCTTAAACGAGTCATCTCTCCTATCATACTTAGGTATTTTCGATGTCACATAATGGCTTGGGACGAGCATTCTCAACCTTGCAAAAAAGGTATCATCATCGTCATTAAAAGGTTGCAAGGTCTTTGTGGACCATCCTCATCCTCATTGCCTTAGTATCTGAGGGGTAGATGAGATGGACTGGCCTAATCCATTGCCTTCTCCTTTTTCTTTTGGCACTTATTTCTAGGCGAAACATTTTGTAAGGCACGACATTGCCTTTTCTCATGCTATCTTGCTAAGGAAGATGGGGGTTGAGGCCTATTTCTAGGTGGTGGGTGGCTAGAATGGCCTATGCTTAATTCTTGTCGGGCTTAGTCGGTTAAACACACTAATAGACCTTTAGGGTATATGCTCCTACTCGCATCATGGGAAAACGTTGTCCTCCATGTCTATTGGGGTCGACATGAAGCATAATTCCAGTAGATGCCACTCTCACATTCCTTTCAAAGGGCCTATCTTCTCTAACATACTAATGAGATGAAGCTCTTTAGCTTTAGACTTCATCCTCATGGAGAAAATACCCTTGTTGTGCATAATGGGAAATTGGTTGGTTGACCCCCTTGGCCTGACATTTTCCTAAAAATTTCTTGCATGATCATGTTTTGGTGGGTGGTATTCCTCATGTTAGCAGCTATTGTGGCTACTTTTCAGGTGAGTTGGGAATCCATTCTCATCCTACCTCGCCTATGATTATAATAGGGTCAGAGTGCCCCACTGGGGTTGTTGCTTGGAGAATCACTTCTTCAGAGTTTTCCCTCACATGGAATATTATGGTCTAAACTCATTTTCTTCCAGTGAGTAAATTGTCAAATTTTAACTCCTTGATCCGAGGGCTTCCACCATTTCTTTATTAAAGAACACATTATTTTTTAAGGGAAATGCCCAGCAACTTTTTGGTGAGATTTTTCTATGGGAATGTTGGTGGTCTTAGTGGCCTTTTGCACAAAAGACGCCAATATGTTGATCTAAATTTTTGTATACATACGAGTACAACAGATCCTGCGGCTACTCATGTCCACACAAGCTAATTTCAACATTCTTGGACGGATTAGTAGTCAAAATGTATCAGGTTTGAGCTAGGGAGAAACTTTACAACGTCAACCAAAAATATTAGGGCATCGACAACATATATAAAGATGATTGTATGATCAAGAACAATCAAGAACACATAAATCCATAGTTATATATCCGTCTCCAATGACATAGGTTGATAAAGCATAAAGAAGTAAGAAGTACAGCTTCCAATATGCGTTGTTGCATTACCCCTCAAATGATATAAGAAGGGAATGTTTATAGTGTTGTATATGAAATGATATGCATTGAATGAGGAGGCACATCGCTTCATCTCCTTAATCGAAGCATGCCATTCTTAGGCATCAATTTGACCTTACTAGCCTGTAACGCATTTACTGCTCTTAAAAGGGGGCTGCCACCTTACAACCATGCTGATAAGGTATTGACATATTATTCATTATAGCATCAATCATTTGAATAGGACTCTATAGATAGAAGATCTTCAAAGGAGGTGAATCATGAATAAGCATTGAATTGAACATCCAAACCACAATCGCTTCGACGAGAGGACTTTGCTATTTGAGCTTTGCCAAGTCAAAGAGGAGGCATACGAAAATCTGTTCGAATTCTTGGAACGGAACAAAAAAAAGTTGGGTCGAATGAATAATTGGATTGGGACCTATGGCTTCAATTAATTATGGGAAAGAAAAAGCAAACAAATTCTGTTCTTAAATTTGAATAATTTCCCAATTTAATTAGACCGTAAAAATAGATTAGTGCTTGTTATGACAAGGACATCTCCCACTTCGACGGACTCGTAGTTGATTTGTTGACTTGGCCTTGTTTATTCTCTTCTACTATAGACTTGATCTAAATAATACCTAAACCAAATAGATAATTAACAAATTTTGTAAAGATACTTGGTTCTTTAATCTTGTTGAGTTTAAGAATTAATTATATTCTTTTAAGCATTCAAGTACCCTACCTAAAAGATGCACGAGGAAATCATATATATAGGGTGACCCCAATTTTAATAGTGATTTTTAGGAGAATATATTGTTAAAAAAATGAAAGATTTCAAATTTACGTGTAAAATTATTTTATTGAAAAAATATGTAATTAAAAATGAGTCTGAAGAAAAAAATAAGTTTTTAAAAATAGAGGCTTAAACATTGACATAATTTGGTCTAGAGTTGGATTCTTGCCAATCTATAAAGGGTATCGAACACGTTTATTATCTTTAAAAAAATTCAATAAAGCCAACAAAATTGAATAAATACAATTAAGATTTATGCATTTAGGGCTTGTAGTGGGTCAAATAGGTTCGTACGATCAATGCCAATAAAAAATAATTATCAACTATTTAAACCCCTTTTTAGTGGTCATTGTTAATTTGGAAAAAAATAATATTTTGAATAGTGATTTTTAGGCAAATGTATAGTTGATAAGTAGAAAAATTCTTTTGGATTTTCATGCTGAATATTTTATTATGTGAATGTATAGTTAAAAATGAGTATGTAGAAAAAATAGTTTTCAAATAAGACCTAATTCTATCTATAAATTTTGTATATTTGTTTGCGTAAGATCACAAGTGTTTTATACAACTCCTTTCACAACTATTGTGTGGAGCTTGAGTTATGAGTGTCAATAGGGTGGTGCCTTGAAAATTCTTGAGAAGAAGGTAAATTTTCGGGAGCAATCAAGGATTTCACGCACTTAATGGAACAGGACAATGCTATTAGGGATGGAGTATTTTGCCATCACTAGTCCAAACAGTAATTGAATGATTTTATGTTTTGAGCAAAGTTGAATTGTTCTTAGTCTTACAAATCGAAAAATGCTTTCAACTCACTTGAAGGCACGAGATTCTTTGAGTTTATATCAATTCAAACTACTGACATGGTCATTAATTAACTTAACTTTTTCTATCTTTTTTTTTTCCAAATTTGAACTATGATTATATATTTCTGCAAAAACAATATGATAAATTATTAATGACTAAACCCAGATTAATTTACTGTTTGATAACTATTATTTCAAAACTTTTTTTTTTTTTTTTTTTTTTACATATTCATTTTCAATCACACATTCATACAATAAAATATTTTTCATATAAGTTCAATACTTTTTCACTATTTTTTAGCTATACATTCTCTTGAAAACTACCATTCATTATTTTTTTCTAAATAATGGATATCAAAGAAATGTCATAACAAAAATACAAAATATATAATTAAATAAAAGATGAAAATATATTTGTATGTGTAAGTTTACAAGTGTTTTATACAACTCCTTTCAAAATTATTGTGTGGAGCTTGAGTTAGGAATACCAATAAGGTGGTGCCTTGAAAATTCTCGAGAGGCAAAAGCAAATTTTTGGAAGTAATCAATGATTTCACGCACTTGATGAAACGGGACAATGCTGGTAGGGATGGAGTATTTTGCCATCACTAGTCCATACACTAATTGAATGATTTATGTTTTGAGCAACATTGAATTGTTCTTAGTCTTACAAATCAAACAATGCTTTCGACTCACTTGAAGGCACGAGATTCTTTGAGTTTATATCAATTCAAGACTACTAATATGGTCATTAATTAACTTAACTTTTTTCTATCTTTTTTCAAATTTGAACTATGATTATGTATTTTTGCAAAAAAACTAGGATAAATTATTAATGACTAAACCCAAATTAAGTTACTATTTGATAACCATTATTTCAAAAATCTTTTTTTTTGCATACTCATTTTCAATCAGACATTAGCACAATAAAATATTTTGCATATAAGTCTAATACTCTTCACTATTTTTTAACCATAAATTTTCTTAAAAACTATTATTTAAAACATTATTTTTTTTCTTCCAAATAATGGATATCAAAGAAATGTTATCGCAAAAATACAAATTACATAATTAAATAAAAGATGAAATTGTATATTTGTCTTTGTAAGATTACAAGTGTTTTATACAACTCCTTTTGTAAATATTGTGTGGAGCTTGAGTTAGGAATGCCAATAGGGTGGTGCCTTGAAAATTCTCAAGAGGTAAAGATAAATTTTTCAGAGTAATCAAGAATTTCACACACTTCATGATAGAGTATTTTGCCATTACTAGTCCAAATACTAATTGAATGATTTATGTTTTGAGCAATATTGAATTGTTTTTAGTCTTGCAAATCAAACAATGCTTTCAACTCACTTGAAGGCACGAGATTCTTTGAGTTTATATCAATTCAAGACTACTAATATGGTCATAACTTAATTTTTTCTATCTTTTTTCAAATTTGAACTATGATTATGTATTTCTGCAAAAACACTAGAATAAATTATTAATGACGAAACCTAAATTAAGTTATCGTTTGATAACCATTATTTTAAATCCTTTTTTTACATACTTATTTTCAATCACACATTTGAACTATTTTAGTCTTGCAAGTCAAACAACGCTTTCGACTCACTTGAACGCTCGAGATTCTTTGAGTTTATATCAATTCAAGACTACTAATATGGTCATAACTTAATTTTTTCTATATTTTTTCAAATTTGAACTATGATTATGTATTTCTGCAAAAACACTAGGATAAATTATTGATGACGAAACCCAAATTAAGTTATCGTTTGATAACCATTATTTTAAATCTATTTTTTTACGTACTTATTTTCAGTCACACATTTGCGTAATAAAATATTTTGCATATAATACTTTTCATTACTTTTTCACTATACATTCTCTTAAAAACTACTATTTAAAACATTATTTTTTTAAATAATGGAAATCAAAGAAATGTTACCGCAAAAATACAAATTACATAATTAAATAAAAGATGAAAATTGTCAGAATTGATTATTCCAATGGTTACTGAATTTAGGTACATATCTTTGATTGATCACTCAAGTTTAAAGTGTCGAATTTTGTTCACTGAACTAAAGTCCATATTTTCGATTGCTTAAAGTTTAAAATATTGCGTTTTGACCAATGGACTTTAAAAAATGTTATACGTTACTCATTTTAAACTCGGTATTTTTCAAAATTCAACATTTATATTAGTGAGTAGTGTACAATATTTTCTAATGTTTAGTAGTCAAAACTCTATATTTTAAATTTTAATAAGTAATTAAAGACGTAAATCTAAATCATTTAAGACATGTTACAATTGCAACAATTAACTCAAATTTTCACGGTGGAGCTTCACCTTCTTGTTTTCTTTCGACAGTTAAATACTTGAATTCTTCTCATTCTTCTTTTTAACTATCGACAAATGTATTTTGGATTGTGTCGTGCTTTCTTTCTCTTTGCGAAGTGATTTCTTGAATGAAAAAAAATAAAATTAAATTCTTGGCTTCTTCTCAGTACTCCGTTTCTGTTTCACTTGAGTCGTCTTTTTGTTTCAATTTTTTTTATTCTTTACCAACTGAAACAGATTTACCTTTTGATTGATTGGTGGGGTTGTAGAATTCTTTCCTTTGAAATTGATTTTGTGACTTTTCAGTTTCCACAAAAAACGCGTACACAACCCTTTTTCTCTTGGATTCCCCATTTCTTGCTCAAGTTCTGATTCCTTTCTTGTTTAGCATTTTTTCATACCATCCCTATATGCAATTTCTTGAATTTGTCTTATCTGGTTTGGATCGCAGGTATCTCTGTTCCATTCCTTTGGAGAAAAGAAAGAGAGGGGTTTGTTCTGGGGTTCAATAGGTTCAATATGAGACGCCTTTGAGGCAGCAATGAAGATGGTGAGATTTCTTGGCACTTTTGGGATTTTTTTCACTTGGGTTGGGTTTTGTCTGGATTAAGTTGTAATTTTTTGATTTTTATATAATTTGGCATCAGCTGGGTTTATTCTAAACGGGTTTGATTTTGATTTCTTATTTATGTCATGAAACTTTTAACTGTCTGACATGGAATAGTTTGTTTGGATTTATGTTTTTTTATTGAGGTTTGAGGAAGTAATTGGCTACAGCGACTACGTTTTATTCACCATATGCTGTTGAATTTGGAGATTTCTTGATTGGGTTTTACTGATTTTGTGTAACTTGGATAATATAGTGCAAGTTAACCTTATAAATACTCCTGAGGCATGTCGAGTGTAGATGTATCCAAGTATGCCCATAGTCCTGTCCATACTGCCATTATTTTGAAAGACTATGCTGGTCTAAGGAGGATCATGGAAGGCCTTCCACGGCTTTGTGACCCAGCAGAGATTCATACTGAGGCAGTTTCACTTGCTGAAGAAGCTAAAGCTGATGCCATTTCTGCTGCGATTGACCGACGTGATGTCCCTAACCGGGACACGCCACTTCACTTAGCTGTCAAGTTTGGTGATGAGGCTGCAACGGAGATGCTTATGCTTGCTGGTGCAGATTGGAGCTTGCAGAATGAACAAGGGTGGAGTGCATTGCAGGAAGCTATATGTAATAGGGAAGAAAGGATTGCGAAGATTATAATTAGGCATTACCAGCCAGTGGCTTGGGCAAAATGGTGCAGAAGGTTGCCTCGGTTGATTGGATCAATGAGACAGATGAGGGATTTTTACATGGAGATCACATTTCATTTTGAGAGCACAATCATTCCTTTTATTTCAAGGATTGCTCCTTCTGATACTTACAAAATCTGGAAAAGAGGTGCTAATTTGAGGGCAGACATGACTTTGGCTGGATTTGACGGTTTCAGAATTCAGCGTTCAGATCAGAGTATTCTCTTCCTTGGTGATGGTTCAGAGGATGGAAAAGTTCCTCCCGGGTCACTTTGCGTGGTCTCACACAAGGATAAGGAAGTAATGAATGCTTTGGATGGTGCTGGGGATGCTGCAACTGATGCTGAAGTGCAGCAAGAAGTGACTTCAATGTCTCAAACTAATATGTTCAGGCCTGGCATTGATGTGACTCAAGCAGTTCTCTTGCCTCAAACGACATGGAGGCGACAGGACAAAACTGAAATGGTGGGTCCTTGGAAAGCTAAGGTATATGATATGCACAATGTGGTTGTAAGTATTAAATCAAGAAGGGTCCCTGGGGCCATGACAGATGATGAACTCTTTAATTCTGGCAATGAAAATGAAACAGAGAACGAGGAGGTGGATGATATTTTGACGGAGGAAGAAAAATGGCAGCTTGAGGTTGCATTGGAGTTGGACTCATCAAATTTAAACAATGAGCATGGCAATTGTATTATTGCCCACCGCCATAGCTGTTATGAGCAAAGGGATATTCCTATTGAGGACATAAACGGATGTACTGATGGAGAAACAGAGGAAAAAAAAGGATGGTTTAATGGCTGGAGGAGACGAGAAAATAAACTAGAAGAGAAGAAAAAGGTTGGTCCTCCAAGTTCTCTGTGCGTAGAAGATAAGGTTAGCAATCTTTTGGAGGATTCTCCTTCTAGAAGTCAAAGTAAACAGGGTAGACACTCTGTGGAGGTTACTGTGAAGCCGGAAGACAACAGAAGAAGACATGACTCCAAAGCTTCTTCATCAACAAATTCTGAAGTTTCAACTCGCCGCAAGGATGGAAGCCCTGAGAATGAGTATAAGAAAGGTTTGAGACCCATTCTCTGGCTTTCTCCAGATTTTCCATTACGAACTGAAGAACTTCTACCATTGCTTGACATTTTAGCAAACAAAGTTAAAGCCATAAGGCGACTAAGAGAATTACTCACTACAAAACTTCCCATTGGGACCTTCCCCGTCAAGGTATGTTCCTTATGTTTTTTACTAGTTCTCGATTGATATGTGCTTCATTTATAATTTTCATTTTGTTTTTATTGAATTAATGGTCTTTGCAAATAAAGCCCTTTTCTTAATTGACACTATTTCTTATGTATATGTGATTATCTATTGTAGACAAGGATTACATAATTCTCTTATAATGGGAGTGGGTAACACAGTACACCAAAGTAGAATTATACATTATTGCTTTTCTTGGCTACACCATTAAGGAGGTAAAAACACGAGGTTATTGCAATTGCACGGATGAAGTTTTCTGCAAAATGTGTAGATAGTAGGTCCTCAACATTTGAATATTTCTTCCATCAGAATTACTAGATAAATTGGACAACAGTGCGCTTTCTTTTTAATTGCAGGGTATGCCATCAAAAATATTGGTAAATATGGAGATTGTGAATTTAGTAACCGAGCTTAATTTGTAAAGTTTTCTGCTATAAATTTTGGCACTATAAGATTGTGCATTCATATGGCTTTTGCAATGGAAGTATTTTAGCATCATTGACCAAGTATTTAACTTCTGTTTGTGAATTAACGGGACTCTAACGAAGCAATGCTTAGGTAATATAACAAAATGTTTGTCAGTGTGGAGGAAGAGAAGATGAAAGAAGTTAAAATTATCTTTCCTTCATCCTTGTTTAGGTGAGAACTGAAAATAAAGTTATAGGAATCTGGTTTCTTTTTGGTGCCACAAATCTTTATTAAAATATGGAAAGCATTCCCTCTTAATTCAATGGTTGAATAATTCTTTGCTCGTTAATCTTTATTACTAATCTATAAATATGACGTTAACTTTCTGTTCTGAAAACTAAAGAAAACTCTGTCCATAAATGTTGACCCACACTGTCCTCATTTTTTTAATGCATCTTTTTCTCGTTTCAGGTTGCTATTCCTGTGATACCAACTGTCAAGGTTTTGGTTACCTTTACAAAGTTCGAAGAATTACAGCCGTTGGATGAGTTTATAACGCCCCCTTCAAGTCCCACCATTGGAGGTGGAGAGCCCCCTGCAGTGATGCAGTCCTCCAGTTCATCTTGGTTCCAGTGGATAAAATCTTCTTATCAACGTCCTAGTTCATCTACGAGTGGTGCAAACAGTAGGGTCGAAAAGCTTCAAGATCCATTCGCTATTCCTTCTGATTATGCTTGGATTACCACGGAAGAAATGAAAAAGAAAATGAAGGAAAAAGGCAAGTTGAAGAAAGCTAAGAATTAAAAGCCACATTTGTAATCTGTCATCGAGTGGGATAATTTATATGGGGTAAAGGAGCTCTACAGGTATCAAATTGGTATAGTTGTTTGGTTGATAAACTAATTTAATTAATTAAACGAACAAGAAAAACGTCGTAGTACTTGTTGTAAAGATCTCTCATACCGTGTGGACGAGTATAAATAAAGAAAACTGAGATAAAAATCTTGTCCATTGTAAAAGTTGAAAGTTGTGATTGTTGTATATGTAAGAATGTTTTACAGATAATTTACAATGTTTTGTTACTGCTAAGGTTTATTTGTACATAGTGCATTCACTTGTTTCTATTACTGATAGTTGCCACTGATTCATTCCAATTTTGAACGGTTAGCGAATCCCAAAGTACATTGATTCTGTAGTTTTATTTAAATATTTCTGCTCATCAGTTCAGCTTAACTGTTTTCTTTCTAATTAGACGTTTGACTAAAGCCTAAAAAGGGAATAAGTTACTTTTAAGTAAACAAGTTTTTATTTATATGAATGCCGGGATAAAGTGTACAAAAAAGTAGTAAATTCTTATACATTAGTAGATCTTAAAAGAGTACTAATTATTTAATTCTCCAAGTAAATAGTAGCTTAGAAAATTCAACATCATTTACGTTTTATAAACTATCTATAACCAATTAAATTATTATTTATTCATGACATACTTATTCATCATCAATCTTATATATTTGTAATTTAAATAATTTATAAATAGTTCCCAAATAAACTTGAAGCTTCATCATTAGGATCGGCTTTGTCAAGCACATTGTTTGATTCATTATTAGGCCACATTTTGATTTAGCTAAAAATTAGATTTTTAGTATTGATAAAAACTGTTGATCTCATAATATGTGATGGAAAATGAATTTTAAAAAATAAGGGCCAAACGTATAGATTTTCTAAAAGATCTAAACTACTTAAATTTTTAGCAACCAATAACCACAACTAGATGCTTGTGAATTTTAATTCATCTCGCTTTCTTTCTACATGTTTTATTGAAATCACATTCATCATATTAAGTATTAGGATAACATCATGAAATTTGATACATGTAGCGTGCCAAGTGCCAACGTAGTGTAACTCTCCTTTATCTAGATTTAGAATCTTAAAATTTACGTGATCCACCCTATATCCATCTTGAGTAAAACTTAATTAGTTTGAATTGTATTTTTAATAATGTACTATCATATGATCGATTAGTTGTGTTTGCAGTGATCAAACTTTAGCTCTAATACTACTATTAGGTTACCGAACTTCAAACGGTAGAAATTCAAAATTTTGTATATAGCTAAACAAATGATGATATGGACCATTTCAATGCTTATGTCTTGGAAGAAAAATTCTGCCATTTTATTTTTAATTTATTTTTTTATTTATCGGTTTTATATATTTATATATAATTAAATAGGATAAATGACTTCTTAACACGGTTTTAAGAGCCGAACTAGCTCTTGACCAGACCAAGAAGACTTTTTGAATTGATAATATATATATATATATATATATATATATATATATATATAAAGGTTAATTTAACAATTTAGTTAGGAAGAATTTAAATTTATCTTCATACACATCAAACATTCACAAGATACTTATTTTAAGTCATACCGGTTAATCAACTATCAACCTCAGTTTGACCTCATTTTTTAAAATTCATTTTCTATAATTTTATTGTCAACCATACATTTTATCAATCTTTATCAACTTCTCAATCATATATTTCATCAAATTTTAACAAAATATATTAAAAATAAGATTTTTCGCAAAATCAATTATGGGCTTAAGTATATATATATATATATATATATATATATATATATATATATATTGTCAAAAATCTCAACCGAACCAAGAGGACCCACAAGTCTTGGTTTAAAAATCCACCATGATGACATACATTCCATAGTGGTAGAATTAAAGAATCTTTAATGTCCGACCCATATTAAAAAGGAAAAGCATCTTGTCTTTTTACTGTTAGGATCCGTTTGATTGCAAAAAATAGAATTTGAGTGAAAAGAAAATGAATATCAGGAAAACGAATTGCGTACAATTTATTTTACCGAGAATTGTCAATTAAATATGTTTGTTTGGAATAATTTTTCACCTAAAAAATATTTAAATTTTGGATTTTTTAGTATTCGTTTGACTTTATTTTCCATGAAAATTGTCAACTAAAGAAATATAATTTTTTTCAATGGAAAAAAAAAACCTGGAAAATCAAAAACCACCATACCTATGGGACGTGACCAATTGCCAAGAAAATTTGGCCAATCAAACATGGACTTATATCTTTTTAAACTGAACATTACAGACCCGAATGTAGGAAGAGGGAGCTCCAATAACTAAGAAAATAAGTATGGCAACACAAATCTAGGGTTTTATTTTAAGCCTACCGATGAATATTTCATTAAATTCTACCTGAAATCAAATTTTATGGGAGAGGCGTTGCCATGGGATGGAATTCTGGAGAAGATAATTTTTCGAGAGAATCTATCATATATATCAGCCATGATTGTTCACCTAAATCTTTCTTGCAAGATATATATAATGAACATTCTAGCACAACTGTATCTCCAACATTCTATAGTTCTTCTAGAAGTTCTCTACAATTTTCTCTGCACATAAACATTCTAGATTAAAATCTCTCCCGCATTGTTTCTCAACATACCAAACTATTGTACAAGGAGCGTGATATGTGCGTGAGTTTGGAACTTCTATTTGGCTTCCTCTTCCTGAGTCATTACATACCGATCCACCAGAAATTTCTCTAGTGCCTCCGCTTCGGCGATTCTGGTAACATATGCCAATAATGATGGGGTCCCTGCGATATAATAACTCATAAAGGATTTTGGCCAAATATAAATGCACACTTGTGTCGTAACAGTATTGAACCCATTTAATCCATGTTGACCACTCCTTAGGTTGTTCTCTCATCAAATACCGGAGGTACATCTCCATAGTTCGGTTTAGAACTTCAATTTGCCCATCTGTATAAGGGTGATAAGTTGAATTAAAATTAAATTTAAGCCACTGCAACTAAAATAATTCTTTCCAAAACGTTCTGGTAAACACAGGATCACGGTCACAAACAATAGATGTTGGCAATCCATAGAGCTTATAACTGTGTGAGAAAAATACATGTGCAATGCGAACCACTCTGTATGGATGTCTAATGTGAATGAAATGTGTAAACTTGGATAAACGATCATCTACCACCAATATAGTGGTCTTACCTTTAGAGTTAGCAAGACCTTCCATGAAATCCACATAAATATCCATCCACATGTGTTGAGGAATTGATAAGGGGCTCATAAGGCTAGTAGGATGCGTGTGCTCGGTTTTATGGTTCTGACATATTTTACACTCTTGAATTACTTCTCGGACTCTTCTTCTAATCCACTTTCGATAAAAATTTTGCCCAATCCAATATAGTATCTCATGTAGGCCTTCGTGAGTACTTGAGTGAATGAAGAAGTGGGTAAAAGATAAATATGATCCTTAAAAAAATCACACCTCCTCTATAAGTTTAAGGGCTCAAAGCTTTTCATGCTTTAATTTTTTCCACCAGTTATTGTAGTTCCTCATCATGTATCACCTCCTCCCTTATGACATCCAATAAGCAGAGTTTCTACGCTCATTCGAGAACCTAAGTGATGATACTTTACCCATTTTTTAGATAAAATACTACATAACTTGTGTATATTGCATTTTGTAGGTAAAACTAGATGTTTGATGAAAAATTAAAGGAAAAAAAATGCAAAAATAGTGAAAAATGACGAAATTTGAAATTCGAGAACTAAATTGCAAACAATTCATAGATGAGACAGGATAAAAAATGAAGATTGAAGATGCCAATGATTTAAGTGGATACGATTAAAATATAAAGGAACAAAATTACAAGAGAAAATGACTGAAATGAAACAAATTAAAAGTTTGGCGACTAAATTGTAAATATTCAAAAGTTGTGTTGAACCTTACGATGAAGATTCAAAAGTGTTAATGGTCAATTGGATGAAGACAGAAGTCAAAATGATGAAATATAATCAAAATATTATCACATACTAACTTTCAGACGAAAAAATTATTCTTCGAATTTTTAGTTTAAGTTTGAGACACTTTTTCGCACAATAAACGTTCGAATTGGAAAAAATGATATCTTTGAAAGAATTTTAGCTCTTTAAGTTATTTTTTCATGCACTTTGAGTCACTTTAATCGGATATCAAGAGAAAAAAATATGGCCAAAATACTTAAGGCTTTCAAGTGGGAAAAAATTATGCCTATGCGGTCGCATAGGTTTAATTAGATGTGACCGCATCTATGCTTTCAGAGCTCCTAGGATCAGTTATGATTTCTTCTATGCAGCCGCTTTCATTTGTACTATGAGATCGCATAGTACTTGATTACGCCCAAAAAATAATGCAGTAGTTGTTGTACAGCTTTGAGATGTCGATTTCATAGGGAGATAGTTAAAAATACTTAAAGAATTCGGAAAATGAATTTTCTTTTGAATGTGTGAACAAATTTATTTGTTTGAATAAAAATAAAATTAAGGTTTTAAATAGTGAAGAGTCAGAATTTACTCAATTAGATTGTGACACTCAACATCAATGATTCATTGATTTCATTCTAATAACTCAATTAGAGATGTTTAACCTTGTTTCTTTAATTAGAAGATATATCATTAAAACCAATTTAATTCAATTGTATTGCTAAAGGTTAACCCTCGTGCCCCAACATTCACACTTTTGTTTACTAGAATAAGATTAAAAAATAACCATATACTTTAGGAATAGGTTGTGTTAAGCGCGTGTTTGATATTTCTTGTAAAAGAATATTAAATAAAATTAGATTATTAATTGTTATTGATATTAGGAAAATAATGTTACTTTTTATGGGTTGAGAATTAAAAATAACACTATTATGTGGATTGAAATCCAATACATCTATCACATATTTGCTAAAACCACTCTTAATGGATTTCTTAGTTAAAATTAGATTAGAAAATTGGAACATTTCTCTTTTGATGTTACTCTTTATCGAACTAATAATAACTAGTAGTTCAAAATTAAACATTATTCATTGTGGGATGGTAACTCTAAATTCACTTTATCTATTACTTGTCAACAATTCAGCACACTTGCGTGATTTGTCCGAACATGTAAGATGGACTTAGACTCTATGAAAGCGGATAATAAGCATGACATAACGATTTGGACGCAAGGTCTCGATTGTTACACTAAGCTAGAGAATGTTGGGAAAAGGACAGAGAGTTTTA